TCCCTCCATTTTGGGCATACAGACGGCTGACTATATATAGTCAGTCTGAATCGGGGGTGGTTGTTGGGTTTTTGTTTTAGACTTACATCTCTGTCCAGACCCCTGCACTGAGGTTGAACTGATGGAGGGGTTTCTTTAGCACAGAAAGTCAGGAAATTGCCTGCCGGGTTCCCACAGTCCTGTCGACTGTCCCTTTGTGAGGGCCATTGCCCTGGGCTCCTTCTGACGCTATCCCTGGCAGGTCCCAGAGGCAATGGTATACAAATGCTATATTGGTAACTGTGAAGTTATAGGAAAAGGTGAAGCCTACATATCAAGTGCTATAGAATTCCTTTCATTTAAGGCCTTCCTGGAGGAGGAGTCTTGGCTGGGTCTAGAGGGAGGCAGTTCCTTCCCACTTGATTGTCTTGTGGGCTGAATAATATAGAATGTGGCCGAAGTTGTGTGAGAAGCTAAGGTGGCCTCTATTGTGAAGGAGAGGTGGGAGAACCACTTCGTTCCCTGCTGGGAAACCTCATACCTCATCCTGCATTTCCTGACATAGGAGGGGAAGGTGTTGGTGGTCACGGGTGATCAGTGCCCTTTTTTTCCCCCTTTGGAAACCTCATTAAGCTTTTGTTTTAATGCCCCTGGTCTCAAATGGCCCCACTGCTGCCTCCACTGATGTGAACTGCCCAGGCAGTGGTCTCTCCCCGGGAGAGTCAGCTGCAGGGTCTGCGGCCTGCTGTCAGGTTTGGAGGTAGGAGAGGGACTTTGTGACGTTGACAACCTTCATTGTGGGGTTTGGGTAAGCTGATCAGAACCTACCTGGGGTAGTCTAAGATAAGGTCATGAGACGTGAAGGCAATCAGTGAAAGGAGAGATAGTTCAGCTGAGATGTGCCTGGCTGCTTCCCCTGATAGAGTGGAGAAGAGGAAGGTGCTTCTAACCCTGAACTGGCGGGGAGCTGGCTGGACTCCAAGTCTCCCTCCATGAATCTGGCCTTCATCCTTTTCCTTCTAGCAGCTCAGGGATATCCAAGGGAATTGCCTAAAATAAACGCAATACCCAGGCTAATTGTCTTTGTAAACTGGTCAGAGCCAGAGCTGCACCAGGCTGCTCCAGTGACTTTTCTATCACCAGTCTCTCTGGCCACCAGAGTTGGCACCTTCTGCCCTGAATCATAGCACCCTCTGGAGATTGGGGTATCAGTTTGTCCCTGGGCTGCAGCAGGTCGAAATGACAGTCTGCACAGAAACCCACATCGACACCTTTGTGCCCAGTTTGAATGCAGTACCCTGGAAGTTACAGACAAAAAGCTACCATTTATTGTCATTATGTGCTAGGAACTTTATTCACATAAACTCAATTATCTCTAACAGCCCTAAGAGGTAGGTATTATTAGATCATTATTCTTTTTTAAATTTGTATTTACTTTTATTATTTTTTAATTGAGATACAATCAGCATTTGTAAGTTTAAAGTGTGTAATGTGTTGACTTGATTTATGTATTGTCATGTAGGTCATTATTCTTACTTTACAGCAAAGAAATGTACATGTATGTGATTACCTAAAGTCATGTAACTAGTAAGTGGTGAAGCCAGGATTTGAAGACACTTCAGTTTAACTCCAAAGCCTTTGCTCTTGTTCACTACCAAACTAGGGGTCAGAGAGGAGATGGGCCTTGAGGGATTGAGATGGAGGTAGCAGGGTGGTGTTCATTTAGGGGATCATCCATGTTATCATTCATTGGGCTTTGATTTTGTGCTGGACACTGTGCTAAATAGTTTACATAGACCATTCGATCTTCATAACAGCCCCATGGAGGCTTTACTGTTATCCCTACTTTATTGCTGTGGAAAGTGGGGCTCAAGGAGGTTAAGTGATTGGTCTAAGGTGAGCCAGCTAGTGAGTGACAAAGCCAAGACTTGAACTCAGGTTGATCAGAGCTCCTGACTGCTAGGTTGTCTGCCCTAGTGGAGCCTCCACTGGCTCTCCCAGACCCTGGGGGTGCCCACTGACAGAGGAAGAGCCCCTTCACCCTCTTGGGTCAGCCCATCCCCTTCACTTTTCCCAGGAGAGCTAGAGGCTACAGCTCCCTGCACCTCTGAGAGCCAGACTGGGGCTGGGGGTCTAGGGATCCCACTTCTTGGTTTGCTGGGCTCAGGGCACTGCTGGCGTCTTCTAGATGTCCATGAGAGCTGGCCAGAAGGTTCCAGAAGCCGTGGGTTAAACAGGGGCTTCAAGCTCTTGGCTGTAGACTCTCCGGAACTGGCTTGCTTGCCCTGTGGACTAGTTCCAAGTTCCCTGCTCTTTCCCACAGACATCTCCCTGCTTCCTGCTCCTGCTCATTCTACTCATCTATAAAAAAAGATGAACTCTTGCCTTCTGCCATAACAAGGATGGATTATAAGATAATTATGCTAAGTGAAATAAGTCGGAGAGAGGAAGACAAATATCAGATGTTTTCATTCATGTGAAATAAAGACACAAAGCAAATGGACTGACAAAACACAACAAAAATAACTCTTAGACTGACAAACGGCGGTTGCCAGATGGGAAGGGAGTGGGAGCTGGAGGAATGGGTAGAGGGGATCAATTTGATAGTGGTAGTTGCTAGAACTTTGGTGGTGATTGGGGCATACACCTAGATGTGAACTTGTACTCCCGAAACTTACCTAAGTATCTTCCACCAATGGTAAATCACTCTTACTCGCTCACTAAAATAAAATACCCTTTATGGTACCCTTCCCAGAAAGAAGTCTACATTCCTTATTGGCTCCCACACCCGAACCTTCCCCTAGTCCTGTGACCTCTGCTGACCTTGCACAACTACCTACTTTTAGCCTGTATTCAGCCTTGAGAAGACAGGAGGCTGAGAACTCTGAGACATCACCCATCCCTGCCCCAGGGCAGGAGGATTATGAAACAGTGTTTTCTCAGCCATTCCTCTTTTTCTGATATTTTCCTTTCCTTAACTTGGACCTAGTAATAGGTATTACCCAGGGGTTTTATAAAGCTTAAGAATCATCTCTGATAGGATCCCTTTGGTATGTGTGGATTTGAAGGCCCCCACTCCCCATCTCTGCAGAAGCCTGTGACACGGCAGCACGCTAATGAGTTCGCTGCTACCCTAAAATAGAGGCAGAGGCCTGTGCCTGTTTATTTCATTTTCTCAAAAATCCAAATATTATTCCTTTTAAAGTAGACACAAAAAATAATAGATACTTTTGAAATTCAAATAAAACAGGAGTGTGGAAAGTGAGCAATTCTCTCCTTTACTGTCCAACCCCAGCCCTCCCCTCACAAGATCACTGCTGCCAACCACTGGGGGCATCTCTTCCCAGTCTGTGTGCGTGTTCTCCTTTCTTCCATAAAACGGAATCACCCTATACACAAGGGCTTAGGGCTCACTTTTTTCTCCCTGATATAGCCAGGATGGACTTCTTTTTACAATAAGAACCTCTGTAAATTGTTTGTATAATTTTGAAGTTTAAAAGTAAACAGCAAAAAATCATGAAGCTCTCCCCCTGCACTAGGTATTTTTCTACCACACCATGGTGAATGGCTGCAGGGTATTTATTGTATGAATGAAGCACAATGTACCTAATTCTTCTCTTGTGTTTCCAATGTTTTACTCTGATGGAGCAAGCTGTGATATCTCTGCCCATATGTCCATGCGCATTTGTGTGCCTCCTTCTGTCGACTGAATCCTAGAAGAGGAACGGCAGGGTCACAGGATGTGCAAAATACAGGAGTCAGATTGCCTTCTTGAGGGCTCGGGGCCTTGAAAACTTGTTGGATTTTCTACTAAACTTCTTCAACATGTCTGAGCCTCAGTTTTGTCCTCTGGAATCTGTGAGTTGAGCATTCATGGTCAACCATCTGGGGTGTTGGTTGAATTTACAGGTGTGGAACTGCAGACCCACAGGGCTGACTCCAAGGACTTGAGCATTGGATTTTGGTATGTCAGTCTTTGTCAGTCTAAGAGTTGTTTTTGTTGTTGTATTTTGTCAGCCCATTTGCTTTGTGCCTTTATTTCACATGAATGAAAACATCTAATATTTGTCTTTCTCTCCCGGACTTATTTCACTTAGCATAATTATCTAAAATCCTGAAGCCAATCCCTTGCAGACAATGAGACAACTCTAGCTAAGTTTTGAGAGTCAAAAGTTATATACAGATTTTCCACTGTATGGGGAACCAGCACCCTTAACCCCTGCGTTGTTGAGGCAAAGACCATGTATGGGAAGCACTTGGTGTCGGGCCCACGCTTTGCTGCTTATAAACGATAGCAATTATTCGGTACCACGGGGCCTGTGAGGCTGTTTGGGCTGCTGCTTGTTTCTTTGGTGAGGATAATGCTTGCAATTTCCTGATGCCCACAGCCACTAAAGGCAGAGGGATGAGGGTAGCTGAGAACAAAGCCTGGAAATGGTGTGGCCTTGACTTCACTCTGGTAGCTGCACACACACCACTGTTCGCTCCCCCTAATGCAGTGAATGTCGGCTGGAACAAAGGCAGCGGAGGAGGGTGTCTTTGTCTCCATCCCACCTCCTGCGAGCTAGTGTAGCTTCAGTGGGCGCAAGGTGGGGCTCAGGACGAGCTGGATTCAGAGGAATGGGCCTGGCTGAAACCAAATCTTCCCCTTTTGGACCCTGCTCAGCCCCCAGGGAAGGCCCTCTCTCCCAGGAAGGAAGGTTAGATGTTGTCAAGGCTTTTGTTAAATGAGCAGTTCTAGAAAGAGGGAAATAGTTGTCTCCCTCTCTTGGAACCCAGCAAAGCCCGTGGCTGCGGGAGCCTGAGCTCCCAGGAGAGCTGCTTAACAGGCAGGACAGAGCCCACTAGGGCTTCACACGCGCTTTAGATCAGCAGGCCAAGGCACTGAGCATCCTCAGTGAAGGGACAGATGATCCTGAAAGGACAATGGACATTCTGCTGAGTCCAGCTTTGAAGAATGGTCTGTCCCTCCCCTGGACCTTCTCTCCATAGGAAAGATTCAGAGACAGTAGTTTTCTGCTGCAGGTATTTTATTGTGCTTAGGTGTTCTGTGCTTCTGGCCATTGCTGGTTATTGCTGAACCTATATCCCTCCCCCCCGCCTTCTGTTTATACCAGACCCTTCCCGAAAGCTAGCTTCTACCTAGGTTTCTGGTGGCAGATCCAGACGTGTGTCCACTAAGCAGGCAATCCTAGATGTGGCGGGCTCTTGGGGCCTAGGAAGGGTGCTGAGTGTTTGCAGCCCTGTTCTGGGCTGGCGGAAGTTGCTCATTTGCCTGCTTTATGTGGGGCAATATGGAATGGGTGAGGAGGAGCACCTACTTCATTGGGTGCCTCTGCCTCCTCGGGGACCTTATCAGTGCTGCAGCTCACAGGTAACAGGAGAGAATGTCAGGGCCAGCAAGGTGCTCAGGACTATGCCTTCTAATCAGACCTACCCTCAGATGGGAGCAGGCGTTGGTGCAAATGACATAGCGATTTAGTGGTCATGAAAGTGACGGAAAAGAAAAGTGGGGAAAGATATCTGTTTCTTCAGATCTTATTTAGTGGAAACTGGGGTCTACTTCTGGTCACTTAGGGTTCTTGGAAACGGCCAGCTTCCCTACCTGTTAGCTTGACCGAAATATGCACTTGGCTCTCTTTTCAGGAGCTGGGTGACAGTGGAGGTGGTGTGCGTTTGGGGGGCCATGGTGGTGAGGGACAAGGGCAAGATGGCTTGTCAGTGCCCCACTTGCCATTGCTGCAGCTGGAGCAGGGTGCCTGGAAGGACTGTGCTGTCAGTAGCTGGTGGAGGGAGGGGGCAGGGCAAGGGGCTTGTCCCCTCGCACTACTTCTCATCCACTCTGGTCAAGTCTGTAGGACTGGGGGTGGCAGGCGCCCTTGGAGGGCCAGGGTCAGTGTCCTGGCTCCATCCTGGAGGCTGTTGCTGCTTGGGTCCTACTGCTGCCACCTCAGGGTGTCCCTGCCAGGGAGAGGCCCTGCAGCTGCTCCTCGGCACTGGCCAGCTCCGCCTCGTCACGCCCACTCTCTGAGCCCTCGAAGCAGCCTGAGTCTCGAGGGATGTCCACCTTGGCTTCTGGCACTGTGTGCGCCACTGGCTCTTCGCTGCTCTCTGCGCCCTCCTCCGCCTCCTCGCTGCCGGCTGCCAGGAGCGAGACAGGGAAATATGGGGCCTTAGTTGGGGGATGGGATTGGAAGCCCCAGGAAGCCCCCAGTGGGGGTGGAGACCCTAGGAGGTCCACTGCGGGCAATGGACCCTCTGCCTCCCACGTCTAACCTTCCCTCTGCCTCCCACATCTAACCTTCTCACCCTTGCATCTTAGCGGTAGGTGGGACTGTTTTTCCCCATCTGCTTAGCCAGGTCTGAGGCCCAGGAGCTCAGACTTCTGTAGCACTAAGCTGGGAACCGGGAAGCCTAGGTCTGTTGTGAACCAGCTTTGAGGCCTCGAGTCAATGCCTTAGCTGCCCTGGCCCTAAGTCCCCTCTTCAATACCAAAGGGAGCTGTGCTTGGTCATCCCTAGTACCCTCTTCTTCCCACACTTTGCCTGATCTTGCAATTCAAGTATGGAAAGTACCTTCCCACCCTATAGGGCCAGGGCCACGCATGTGGTCAGGGGCAGGACCAGGGCTGACCTCCCTCCCTGGAATGCCAGTAGGCACCTCCTCATGGGTCCCTCGGCAACTAAATCCACTCACTGTCGTAGTCCAGCAGCAGCTCCGCGGCCGTGAGCAGCTTGGCCCGGTGCTGTGGGTCCATGATGTTCAGCTCGTTGAGGTGTGTTTCCCGCAGCTCTTTGAAGTCCTCCAGTGTCTGGTAGCCGTTGAGCAGCAAGGTGGACGTGTGTTCCTGTGGGCAGGGGCAGGCCACCCGTGCAGCCGCTTATAAGCCACCCGACCTGTGGGTCCTCCCTCCCTACACAGCAGAGGTGGCCTGGCCCCCAGCCCTTGCTCCTAGGCACTGACTACAAGCCCCGTCTCGCACCTCCAGGCCGATGCGCTCCAGCAGCTCATGCAGAGTCTTGGGCTTGGGCCGCTTGCCCTTGCTCTGCCGGCGGCTAGGGCGGGAAGGTCCCACAGACTCCTCGGGCAGCACATCCACATAGATGAACTTGAAAAAGCCCAGCTTGCCATGGAGCAGGCCCTGCCATGTACCCACTGGTGGCTTTTCAACGATCTGGATCACATCACCTTTCTGTGGGAGGAGAGCAGAGCAGAGCGGAACTGGGGAGAGGGAAGGGTAGTCCCTTGGTCGCCACTGACACCGTCCTGCGCTGCCTCAGTCCACCTTCACGGGCACAGCCTGGCAGGCTCAGGAGGACCTGGCTGCCAACCTTACCTGAAGTTTCAGTGAGTCGTGGTCATAGGGGCTGGGAGTGAAGTCGGTGTGGACTCGCGCCCGGCCACAGAAGGGTCCTGTGTATTGGGGTGCAGGAGACTCCTCCCCGAAGCTACCAGAACCTGGGCTGGGGCTGCAGAGCTCACTGCCTGCAAGGGATGGGAAGGGAGAGGATCAACCTTTGTCCTAGGACAGCTGGGGTTCTGGCTAAATATCCCAAGGATACATTCTGGGGCAGAAAGCTGGGCTCTAAGTGTCACACGGCAGAAGGGATTCTGCCCCATCCCTGTGGCCACCCTGCAGGAGCACAGCTTCACCTCTGGGGCCTCAGGTATGAAAAGAGTTGGCCACAGAGGAGAAATGGCACAGACCAAGAAATGGGCCGCCACTCCAATAAACAGATGAGGAAAATTAAGGCCAGATAGACCAAGTGAACTGCCCAAGGCCTCTCAACTTATAATTGACAGCACTGGGCCCATTAGACTCCAGGTCTCCTGACCCCTGCTCGGGGCTCCAGGAAGCCACCTTCCACCCAGGAAACCACAGTCTGCATTAGTGTTTTATTTGCTCTACTTTATAAGACTCAGTGCCTAGTTACAAGCCACATGGAAACTCAGATAGGCTCTTCCTCTCTGAGAAGGGCAGGAGGAAAGGCATTTTAAATAGCTTTCAGTGGAGGGAGGGAGATGTCTGTGGAGCCAGAGAAAGAGCAGGGAACTTGGAACTAGTCCACAGGGCAAGCAAGCCAGTTCCGGAGGGTCTACAGCCAAGAGCTTGAAGCCCGTGTTTCAGCCATGGCTTCTGGAACCTTCTGGCCGGCTCTCATGGACATCTAGAAGATGTCAGCAGTGCCCTGAGCCCAGCAAACCGCGAAGTGGGGTCCAGACATTGAGTCTTCACAGCTGGAGTCCCTAGACCCCTAGCCCCAGTCTGGCTGTCAGAGGTGCAGGGAGCTGTAGCCTCTAGCTCTCTTGGGAAAAGTGAGGTGGGTGGGCTGACCCAAGAGGGTGATGGGGTTCTTCCTCTGTCCGTGGGCCCCTCCAGGGCCTGGGAGAGTCAGTGGAGGCTCCTCTAAGGCAGACCCAAATTCAAGACTGGGTCACCTTGGGCAAGTCAGTGACTCCTGAGCCTCAGTTTTCATGTCAATAAAGTGGAGCTAATAGTAGTACTGACCCCATGACATTGTTGTGAAGATTTAATCCAGAGAGGGCTGGGACAGTCTCGGCAGGTACAGAGTAAAGGTTCATTTCTCTTACTCCCCCTCCCAGATACCACCAGCTTGGCCCTACCCCGGCCCTCTTCTCTTGACTCAGCAGACATCTCCCCACTCCCTCAACTTACCGGTGGAAGCCTGGCGGCTGAGTGTCGGGAGCTCACCTTCCTCCTGCTCAGAGAAGGCCAGCCCCATCTTCTCAGGACCAGGGCTGTCCAGGCTGCCGTCTGGAGATGTCGGGGAGGATGTGCCCTCCTCCAGCGTGTCTGCCTGCAGGGGAGGGGAGGCAGGAAACCCTGAGCAGCCTCGGCTGGGGTGTACATGGGGCAGCCCTGGATGCCGAGGAGGAAATAAATGGACCTGGGCATGGTAGAGAACTGGGGCCTGGCTTGAGCCCAGCTCTGTCACTTGGAGGCTGCGCGCCTACTCTGAGCCTTGTTTTCCTGCCTTTAAAGTGAGAATGACAGTCCTTGCCCTCCCACCTCACTGGATTAGGTTTAACAGTTGCCTGGTGATGTGCTTTGTCAGCTTAAAGTGCTGAGGCCCCCACAGAAGAGGTCTCTGTGCCATAGCTTGTCTCTGAGTGGCTGCAAGGGCACCGTCGGGCAGACAGTGGTACTGGACAGGACTTACTTTTAATTCTGGTGCTATGTCCCAGGCATTCTATTATTTCATTTAATCCTCAGTGATACTTGAATGTCACTTAAGAGATATGATCTTCCCAAGTTTATAGATGAGAAGCAATGGTGGAACATTCCTAAGCAATGGTGGAACATCCCCAAGCTCCTCCACGTCACCACACCTCAGCCTGATGCTATCTGTTCGTGACTGGCTCGCTGGAAATAAAAGCCCTGATGTGTAGCAGCTGCCAATTCCTGTGTTGTAAGCACTCCCCACCCTAACCGATGTCAAGCTATTGAAGGATAGATTTCCCCAAGTTGCTGAGAGTGGACCTTTCCAAGACATGTCACTTTGGTTTATATCAAGTGAATTATTTTGAGCTGAGTTCAAGCCAGACTCTGTGGGCTCAAGAGAAAATTTTACTGCACCCTTAACTACCTAGAAGAATGAAAATTGGGGATAGTATTCAGATTAAGAGCAATCTCTACAAATAACCTTTCTATCAGAGAAACCTATCTATCTGGCAGGCCAGCCATCTATTATAGAGCATCTGGTTCTTTCTGCAGGCCCCTCTCCCACCTCTTAGCCCAGGACATATGCCCTCATTTGAACCTTATTTACTCTGGAATTTACATCCATGTAGATTCTCCATATGTATGCAATTACATTTCGTTTTTTATCCTACTAATTTGTTTGATGTTAATTTGATTGTTTGACTGGCCAAAAAAAAAAACCCCATAGAAAGAAGAGGAAATTTCCTCTCTGACCTATGCATCATCATGAGTATCTCCCCTTCCCCACAGATACTGCCAATGTGGACAGTCTGGAGGGAGCAGAGAACAATGACATGTACAGGAATCAGGAAGTAATATTTTTTGAAGGTTGACTGTAGTCACCTTTTTTTTTAATATACTTTACTTAATTCTAAGTTTATACAACTTCATTTTCGATAATGATTGTGGTGTTCCACATTGGGTGAACAAAATTCCCGAGAACTTCACTGAGGGCTCTGAACTGGTATCATTGAGGATATCAGAACATGGAGCTTCCTGTAAGAGCCATGAGCCTTCAGACTACCTGTGTGATTGTGTAACAGTGTAATCTACAGACAATCGTTCTAAAATCTAAATCTAAAAGCAGAGATTCCATGTTCCCTGCCCTACCCAAGGAAGGGAGCTGAGGATCAAGAGGAAGCTAAAAAGGACTTGGGAATGAAGACTTGGAAGAGAAGGCCTGGAGGAGGTGCATGGAGCAGAGGGACGTGTGGAGAAGAAGCCACGCTTGCTTCTTGGCCATGGACTTGTACCAGGAACTTGGGGGACATGGAAGGAGACACTTGAAAGAGATGTGGGTGAGAGACCCAGGGGGAGGCTGACAATGGCAGCCGTTATCTTGACTTGTACTTTGATTTTGCTCTTTTCCTTCCAGTCTTGCCTGGCCCCTTCTGCTCCTTTTCTATGGGTCTGTACCAGAAGGTGCCTTATACTTGTGACAAGATTTTGGGCCTCAATGGCCCTGCTTTGGGCCAACCCAGTTTGGCTGGGCCTTTACCCACAAGGCATGGGTAACTTTGGGTGCTTCATTTGGGAACTATGTTCTTTCTCTTCTCTCTATTGGACACTAATTCTATTCAAGTTATTTTCTTTTTTTAAAAAAAGATTTATTTATTTATACAAGAACTGGGGTATAGTCAGAGGCATGGGAGGGTGAGAGAATTCACCATAGACAGAGTGGGGAGCAGAACAGGCAGACAAACCGAAGACACTGCTGAGGGGAGCAGTGGGCAAGACAGGAGAGGTCTGCCGTGCCATATGGGTATCTCCCTGGCTAGCCGGGAATCGAACCCACACTGCAGAGGCTGCGGACAGCTTCACAGCGCTGTGCTCAACCTGCTGTGCCACCAGGGAGGCCCTATTCAAATTATTTTCTAATGGTGGTTTTACACACTAAGAGTATGGTTGTCTTTATATGGATGGTGACAGAACCTACTTAGATCGTGCATGTTTGGGATTCCAGGGGTGCCCCCCAGTCTGGCCACTAACAACCCCAGCTATTTGGGGTGTGCCTATCCACAGCTGTCTGTCCCTCCCTCCATCCCTGGGCCAAAGTCATCCTTCTCTATGTTCTCACAATGGGAACCTCTTCCAATCAAATCTTCCCAATCCTATGTCCCACTTCCAAACAAAAATTCAAGGTAGATGAATTTGCCTCAGGCCATCTCATCTCTAGATTAGCTGTCCCCTCTTCTCAGACTTTTTCTTTACTCCTCCAGTCCCACCCCTGCAATGTTCTGGGCTGAAAGGGAGCACCTCCCCCGACAAAACCTTACTTTTGGTATCCAGGGTGACTGCAAACATGGTACTTGAGCAGTGGCCTTTAAGGTGGCCATGCTCACAACCCTGCCAGAGTGGCACCTGTCCTCCCTGCCCTCCACCCCTACATCAGACCCCCAGGCCTCACCATCTCCTCTGACAGGGCCTTCACCATCATCTTGCCCATCTTCCTGTTCATGGTTCGGGAAATGACAGCCCTCCATTTCTTCCCCAGCTTTTTGCCACTTTTCCCAGGATCCTCTGGGGCAGGGACACCGGAGTCATCTTCTGGAATCTGTGACAACAAAGGAGGAAGTTCAGGGACCCTGGTGACCTGCCTCGGTCCAGAACAGGGAGGCAGAGGGCGGAGGGGTAGGAATGAGTAGCCCCGAGCCCAGTCCCCCGAGCCCCAGTCCTGTCCATAATTAATTTGACATTTAATCTGTAACGGAAAAGGGTTGCTTGTTCTTGGGGCCCCGAATTTTGGTGGGTGGGAGATGTGAGCCTTCTGTATTTAAGGCAGGCTTTGTCGAAATCCTCCTCAAATCTCCCCTTTTCCCTTCCTCCCTTCCTCCACCCCACTCCCCCACCCAGGGCCTGCAGCCACATCCCCCAAGGAGACTCCGAAACTCACATTATCATCCAGATTAAATTCCTTCTCGCTCACCACAGGGGAGCTGGGCTTGGATTTGGCAAAATCCTTGAAGCTGCTGGAGCGCTGAAGTGAGAGCTGGAAGAAGCAATCAGTGACTAGTAAGGAGCTGTTCCTGCTCCCCACGCAGGCTCTGAAGACCTCGGGGCTGGGCAGAGCCACATGTGCCCTGAGGGCCCAAGGCTAATGAGGTGAAGCTCCAAGATGTTGTGGGGGAGAAAATTCATCTCCTAGGCAAAAGGATTACTTTGGGCTGATTATTTTAAAGAAACAGCAGACTCGACTCAAGAAGTTTTTCTTTCCTTTTCCCTTAACTGCCTATAAGGATTTTGATAGGGGGCCTATTCCGGGAAGGGAGTTATCACCAGAGAGAAGTACAAAGAATATGAGTTAAGTGGGATAGACTGGGGTAAATGAGCAAGGCCGGTTTGTTGGAAGTCCTCTGTGTCCCTTTGTCTCTGCCTGGCATGGCAAACATTTGTTTACCAAATATTTGCTTTTCCATCTTCCTGTGAATTGTCTTCCTCCCCTTTGAAATCTCAGTCCCTGACCCCCCTCATTTGCCTGCCTGTCTGAGAACTTCATGTGTTTGTATGGTTCCTATATGTGCCTAATTAACTTTTTTTTTCTCCTGTTAATCTGTCTTAAGTCAGTTCAATTATTAGGCCAACCAAAATAACATGGGAGGGTAGAAGGAACATTTTTACTCCCCTACAATATCCTCAGGGCCACTTGGTTTTATTCTGTTTTTCAAATGAGAATGACCTCTGTCACTGGCCACAAGCAAGCTCCTTACCTCCAGAGCCTTGGGCCTGAGTCAGGCCTACCAAGCCCACATTTCCACCAGTACCTGAAGTTTGGTCCGAGACTCCTGGAGTGAAAGACTAACTAAATGCGCAGAAGCAAACACATATCTCCTATAAGAAGGATACCTTGACACATACAATAACATCACCTTCATGTCACAGAGCAACCCTTAGTCCCCCCTGATGATCTGCTCCGGCCTCCATGCTCTGGGTCCGCTCCAAGCATGGTCTCCAGTCATGGGGCTGGCAGTAAACATATTGGGGTCTTCAGTCTGATGAATCTGTGCCCCAAGAAGATGTTCCCCCCCGGCCCTAGAAGCCAGTAAGCCCTGGCATTATACTTTCTGGAAATCCACAATAGAGACTTTTTCAGTGAGGGTACCCACAGATTTGGGACACACATAAGTGGGGTTAGCTTAGTAAAAAGAAATCTGCCTTTTTTTTTTTTTTTTTTAATCAGAGCTTGTAACCTTAACCACTGACACGATAGCTGGCTGCGGTGGGTTTGTGCTTGCATTTGAACTTTTAGGCCTGACCTATGGTTTGTGTTGGTGGGACTGCTTTCAGGAAATGAGTTTTCTTAACTGTATAGGGCTGCACAGGCCAAGAAAACAGCCAGAACCCAGGGCCAGGCAGGTAAGGAAGGTAGGTTGTAGGCACCAGAAGCAGAGGCTGAGCCTGAATGAAGATCGACAGTCAAGGCCAGAGAAACACACAGGAACCAGGGTTCACAGATGGCCAGAACGATAGCAGGGGATAGACTGCAGACACTAGAGATAAGAGCTGGAGGAACCAAAGACCTAACGGGCACATAGCTGAAAGTTTCACATGCTGAAAGTTTCACATCCTCTTTCGTAAGAAAAGGGGGTCTAGGGACAACCCCCCCAAGGCCAGGGGCAATATCACCACCTCCCTCAACACACACACAATTGGCTCCAGCTCCTGGGGACAAGAAGTGGGCACCTTAGTTTCTCTTGGTGGGGCTTGATCAAAGGCAAGTAGGCAATCAGGGTCGGGGCTACTGGAGGTCTCAACAAGCTAACTGACCAGAAACTAGGTCAGCAGCCAGGCCAAGCTGACTCTACCACCAGGATGGCCTCCTGGGTGGGGCACCTACAGCCTCAGAAAGTTTTTTTCTGTGCTATATGGAGAGCTGGAAAAGGCCTCCCCCACCCCAGTGGGCGTCGGGAGGGCAAAGCATGGCTGCGTAGGGTGACCTCTCCAGTTCCCATGCTTCCCCTCCATCCTCCCTCCTTGGTCTTCCCCGCCCACTATTCTTTCCTCTTTTTCTCCCTTTCTTTCTCCATTCTCTCCTCCACCTTCCGTTTATTTCCTCCTCTTGTATGGCTAGGATGCAGCTGCCTGGATAACTTCCTCCTCTTATTGCCTGGAAAAGAGGGAACAGAGAGAGAGGGTGGGCACCAGGCTGGCCCAGGCCCAAGGAGGGCAGGCTGGGCTGCTATTTATAGGCTAACAAGGCCATTTGTGGCCTTCCCTCCAGCAACCCTCAGTCTGGTCTGCAGACAGGGAGGTTGAGAATCACCCCTGAAGCTTCAGGGTCAGGCCAGTCTGGAAAGTAAGGAGGGCCGGTGTGCGGCTGGAAGTGGACTTTGTTGTGGAAGAATAAACTCTTGGCCAGGCCGCTTCTAATCACCCCTCTTTCTAGGGGCCTTTTCCGGTCATTAAGCTGCTGCCTGGGGGCTGGGGCCTTTGACTCTCAGGCTCTATGTCAGGGAGCCTCTGTCCCAACTTTAGCCCAAAGCAGGAAGAAATGATCCAAAAGGGCTGTGGAGGTGGCACTGCGTCTTGGGCCCAGCTGGGTGCTTCTCAGCCCAGGGCCATGAAAAGGGCTATGCCAGTTCTTTTGCCTGGCCTTACCTCCAGCCTCAGGGGCAAGCCCTGCATGTTCTGAATGACAGGACCCCTCTTTCAGTGACCCCTCTCACCAGATATGAGTTAAAATCCTTTGGATTTTCTGCCTGGCCTCCCTTTGGTATAAGGTCTTCCTGGGGGCCCTGCCTCCTAGTGGAGCTAGTAACACACACTGTTGGCCCTTTTTCCTGTGTAAGGGCTGCATGTGGGTCTCTTGGAAAGGGCTGCTTTTCTGGCAGGGCAGTCATTGCAGAGTTCAGTTCTGGGACGTGAGTGGCCTTCTGCAAGTTCTTTAACTGGAATCTCAGCCTCTTGACTTGGTGTCAGCCAGCAAGGTCTCACGCCTTGGTTCTGCCGTTGGCCAGCTGTGTCAATCTGGGAGAGTTCCTCAACTATTGTGGGCATAGTTTTTTTTTTTTCCCCCTCATGGGTAAAGTGAAGACCAGGGCATCTCCCTCACAAGGGTGTGGTGAGGCTGCAAGGCATGAGTACCTCACACAGCAATCCTTCAGGGAATGTCTATGTGGTTTAGCCTCTCCAATGACCCACCTCCAGACTCTCAGCCAGGACATCCTCTGCCTGGAATGTTCGGTCATTCTGTCAGTGATAGCTTTCCCCCTTTTTAAAATGCAATTTCACGGGAAACAACCCAAATGCCCATCAATGGTGGGATGATGCGTGCATTGTGGCAGAGTCATACAAGGGATAATAGTAATAGCAATGAGGGTAGTACAGCTTCCCCTCCAAATCTGGATGACGCACGCAGATACGCTGTTCAGACGAAGAGACCAGCCACTGAAAAGTACACGACAGTTGACCCTTGAACAACACTGGTTTGCATTGCGAGGGGTCCACTTATACACGAATTTTCTCATAAACAACTTAAAGTTACGGTATTGATAAATACAGCACAGTACTATAAAGCCATTTTGATTTTCTTAATAACATTTTCTTTTCTCTGGCTTACTTTATTGTAGGAACACAACATATAATACATATAACTTACAAGATATGTATTAATTGATGGTTGATGTTATCAGTGAGGTTTCTGGTCAACAGCAGGCTACTAGTAGTTAAATTTGGGGGGAGTCAAAAGTTACATGTGCATTTTGGACTGTGCAGGGGGTTGGTACCCCCTAATCCCTGCATTGTTCAAGGGTCAATTAATATAGTTCATTGCATAGAAAGTTCAAAGCCCAGCAAAACTAATCGAGGTAGTTGGAAGTCAGCATATGAGGTGGAACTAAGTCATCCAGGATGGTGGAGTCAGCCTGTGACACGTAGTATGTATCATGAAGGACTAGGGAGGCCCCTGAGTTGGGGGTCATATACCCATCAGCCTTGGGGGCTTGTAGTGACTGGCATGAGCATGAAGGAAACTTCTAGCGTGTTCAAAGTGCTCTGATTCTCGATGTGGGTACTGCCTACATGGGATATTCACTTTATGGAAATTCGTTAAGTGATACACTTATGACTTATGCACTTACTACAGTTATTATATTTTTAAAAAAATGGGTTTTCCAAATCCAGTTTCAGAGATACCGCCCACTGGAGAAAGCCTCCCCTGATTACTCCCTCGGAGCCTCACATCTTTTGTCCTCTTTTTTCCATGCTTCTAAGCAAGCTTGGCTTTCCCCAGGTGTCTCGGCAGCTCCCTGCTCAAATCCTTCCCTCCCCAGTCATATGCTGAGCAGTCTCTGGGCTCCAGGCACCTGGTCACCATGAATGTGTGGGAATTTAGTGACTAGTGACCCCTCCATGTACCCAGCACCCTGCCAAGTACTCGGTGTGTGCCAGCTCTCTCCAGCCTTGTCACAGCCCTATCTTACATCCCCCCCTTCCCAGTTGAGGAGACTGAGACATGGGGAATAAAGTATCCTAGGCAGAGTCACACAGCTGGCCGCGGAAAGAGGCAGGGTCGAAGCCTGGTCTGTGACTGGAAGCCAGTGCATGTTGCTGCGTGCACGGAGCTCGAGTAGTTGCCCATCCTGTGGCCCAGTGTAGAAGTGGCCTGAGTGCCATGTCTGCTGTGGGTGGTGTTTGGAGGGAGATCTCGCGAGAGCAGTTGAAAGTATGGAGGAGGAAGGGTCTGAGGAGGGCTTCATGGAGGAGACACATGTGAGCTGGGGCCATGGAGGGAAGGCAGGATATCTCCAGGTGCAGCTGAGAGGGGTTTGAACAAGAGAAAGAACTAGGGATGTTCTGAGCATGCTGATGGAATGTTGGGTATGCCAGTGGGGCTGGTGGGAAGCAGAGAAGAAGAGGTCATGGAAAGTCCTTGCCAGTCATGCCAAGGGACTCAGGCGCTAGCTAGCCTGTGGGCAATGAGGAGCCACTGGAAATATACACTAAAAGTGCATGCTGGTGGGGTGTCACACAAGAGTTGCACTGTAGGAAAGAGGTCAGGGGAACTAGAGAACTGGGGTTTGGGGACAGAGGGGCAGGGAGAGGCTAGAGGAGGAAGAGTTGAGCTCTTGAATGGGAGTTTAGATTCCTCCCTACTTCCTTAGCAGGAGGTATGGCGTGCAGGGGGGAGTGGGGTAGGAGCTTTCTTAGAGGAGTGAGGTCCCAGTACAAACCCCTTTCCACTTCCTATCTCCCAACAGATCAGAGAGAGACCCTGAAAGAGGCAAAGGTCACCCAAGGGCAGCTGAGGGGTATGTTCCCCACCCCCAGTCCTTTGTGCTACTCAGGAGGTGCCACATCCTGACCCTGCCCTCCTCCTCTCACTCTGATGCCTGCAGGTCACTGATTCCACAGCCATCAGGGTCTGCCCTGCAGAGCTCCACCACTGATGGATCTAATCCTTTCTGCTCATCAGATTCTTGGAGAGCTTTGAGATCAATGGGGCACAAAAGAGTACAGGGAGGACGGGGTAAGACTCTGGGGACTGACATCTTAGCCTTGGTCCCTGTAAGCCTTGCAGCTTTAAAACTGTGTCACCTTGTGCTGGGAAAACTGGGTCGCTACATGCAAAAGAATGAAGCTTGACTACTACCTCACACCATGCACAAAAACCAACTCAAAATGGATTAAAGAACTAGACATAAGACCTGAAACCATAAAATATATAGAAGGAAATATAGGCGAAACACTACATGATATGCACATCAAAGACATCTTTACAGACACATCACCCAAAGCAGTGATAGTGAAGGCGAAGATAAACAGCTGGGACTACATCAAATTAAGGAGTTTCTGCGCAGCAAAAGAAACAATAACCAAAACAAAGAGAAACCCCACCAACTGGGAGAACATTTTTGCACCCAACACTAATGATAAAGGACTGATCACAAAAATCTGCAAAGAGCTGATGAGACTCAACAACAACAAAGAAAATAATCCAGTCAAAAAATGGGCAGAAGAGCTAAAAAGAAACTTCTCCGAAGAGGAAATGCAAATGGCCAACAGACATATGAAAAAATGTTCAATGTCACCTGCAATCAGGGAAATGCAAATCAAAACTACCATGAGATACCATCTTACACCAGTGAGAATGGCACATATTAAAAAAACTAGCAACAACAAATGTTGGCGAAGATGTGGAGAAAAAGGAACTCTCCTGCACTGCTGGTGGGAGTGCAAACTGGTCCAACCACTATGGAGAGCTGTGTGGAGATTTCTGGACCTACTGAACATAGAGCTTCCATGTGATCCAGCAATTCCACTCCTAGGTATTTACCCAAAGGACACAGAAACATCAATTCCAAAGAGCACCTGCACCCTATGTTTATAGCAGCACTATTTACAATAGCTAAGCTTTGGAAACAGCCCAAATGCCCAAAAATAGATGACTGGATCAAGAAGATGTGGTACATATACACCATGGAATATTACTCAGCATTCAAAAAAGATAAACACATGCAATTTGCAGCAACATGGATGGTGCTGGAAGGGATCATGCTCAGCGAAATAAGCCAGAAAGAAAAAGAAAAATACCGGATGGTCTCACTCATAGCAGGAATCTAGAAAACTTAAATAAGGGACCAGGAAAAAGAATAACTATAAGAAAGAAAATATCAAAATCAACAAACATATGAACCAGAGACACTCTATGGGGTGTGGGGGGTGGTGAAAGGAGGGATTGGAGTCAAAATAAGGGGGTTGTAATTGTATGGGGAATATAAAAATAAAATTTAAATTTAATTAAAAAAAAACCAGGTTAAAAAAAAAAAAGCTGTGTCACCTTGGGTAAGTCACGTTACCTCTCTGAGCTGCAGACACAAAATAGGGAGAAAGACAGTATGTGCCCCTACTTCCCAGGCTTATCTTGAGGAGTAAGCGGGCTAAGAGATGGATAAAGTTCACAGCACAGTGCCTGGCACCTGAAAAGTCCTCATTTGGTGCTGGCTCTGAGAGCTTTGAATCACGTTTCCTGTACTTCAGAAGTGGGGCCAAGGCTTGTTCTTCTCTGTAGTGCCACCTCTGCTCACCCCCTTGTGTGCACATGCACCCAGTTGACAAACACTCACATTTATAGTTTCCGGTTATTTGGACAGACTCCTGAGGTGGGCAGACGCCGGGGAAAGCTGTCTCCCTGTTCTCAGATGGGGAAACTAAGGCCCAAATAAGGTCAATGAATTGTCTGAGAAGCTATAGCTAGAACCTGGTAAGATTCCAGCTCTGCTTTCTTGCCCCCTGCCCAGCACACTCTCCATTTGGCAGGTGTCGGGGGAGAAGCAGGGGCAGGAGACGAACGCCTCTCTTGCCTTTGTGCTTTTCCTCTCCACCATGTCAACGTGGCATCCTGGACTTGTTCAAGGTCACTGTGCAAGTGGTACTGGGGCTGGGGCTGGGGAAGATGCTGGTTCAGAAGCTTGGGTTTTCCAAGAGCACTTCCAGGGCTTGGGGCTTTGGAGAGTGGCTCTGGAGGCTGGCCCTGGCTCAGGCAAGAGCCGGGTGGGGTTGGCCTGGCTGCCCTCCTTCAGAGGACATAGAACTTGGAATGCCACGTGGACTTTGCTTCTCCTCCAAGAGGTAGGGGGCAAGTCATAGAGGCCCTGCCACCACACACAGAATCTGGGTAACGGATGCTAGGAAAGATGCCAGGACTTCTGGCTTCTCTGTGACCCTGGACACCTCTGCCCCAGTGGTACAGGGTCCGGGTGTCAAAGTGTCAGCGCTTTCTCAGACTTTCCTCTGGCTCAGCTCCCCTGTGGTTTGGGGCCCAGCAGCATCTACAGCAGTCTCTGCTTCCCACCCCCAGCAGCCCGAGAACAAGGGGGAAGTAGACCTGCTCTCAGAGGACTGGCAGCCAATGGCAAATCAGTGGGCCTAGCATGGTGCAGGGCTTGGATGGGGCCACAAGAGGCTGTGTGAACACCCATGAATCTCTCCCCCCCACAAGGTCCAGCTCCACTGCAACCTTGAAGAAGCAGCGGGGGTGGGGGAGAGTAGAGCCGGAAGTGGCGGTCTCCACAGTACCCAAAATGGGGCAGGATGCACACCCCGTTGCCCTGAGACTTGGGCTCTCAGCTGGCTCAGCCTCGCCTGGGAGCTCTTTCTCTGACGAGTCCCATCCCTGCCCCCATGGGGCACCTGGGCTGAGTTCGGGGGAAATGGGTAGGACACAGAGAGGGCCTAGAGGGGCTAGGTCCTGGGCCTCTTGGTTCAGGCCTACTTTGGGGTGGTTATAAGACCTTGCTGGAGATTTGGCATGTACTTGCTGAATCCCTGGGAATCCCCATTGTCGAAACAAAGATTTCATCAAGAAATCCTCAAATCCAACCAAAGAAACCTGGATCTGGCAGAGCCTTCAGAGAGTCTTCTAGTTCTGCCTCTGCTCCAGGAGGATGAACACCTTGGTTGTCTATGACTGTTGCTTTGCTTCTTGGTCTGTAATATCCCCCCACAGACATTTTTTCCTTCTCAGCCCTCACTCCTACTCTGCATCTCACAGCTTCATTTCTCATTCTTCACAAATAATTTCTCCCCACCTGGGAGGAGCCTCTATGCCCCTTACATCCCACTGCAGGGTTCCAGGCCCTTCCCCGCGTCTGGAATTCACCTCGGGTCCCATCTTCAGGTCGCCCCCAAGTCCTGTGGACCTGAGAAGCTGCAGCAGAGGAGAACCAAGTGGGCAGAGCCAGGGCTGTGGTCAGTGGTAAGGACTTGGGGGCAGCGCGGTCTGAGCGGGGCGGCCTTTAGGGGCCCTTTGAGTCCGAGGGCTCCTGAGAGGCCATATTTGAGCAGAGGAGTGGCAGGATGAGTATAAGGGAGAGAGAATTAAGTCCAGCCATAGGCTTCAACTCCAGAACTGTATTCTGTGGTTCTCAAATTCTAATCTAAGATTCCTTTCACTTTAGGTTTCCATCCCTCTGATGCAAGGTTGATTCTCTCACGCTAGACTTCCAAGAATCTAGTCTATAATTCGGTTTCTCTAGAATTGGAAACATTCCTTCTGTATTTCTGTTACTTTACTCTCCCCCCCCCCCCCGCCCGCCCGCCCTTGGGAGAATGGCCCTCACAGCTCTGGCTCAGCTCGGACGCGGAATGGCTCCACCGACTCAACATCTGGCTTTGGGCTCTTCCCATTCCTCAGAGTCTTGGAGCCGATGGGTGAGCGAGCAGAGGAAAGGAAGAAGTGAGTTCCCAGAGGTGCTCCTCACCTTTCTCTTCTGAGCAGGCTCCTTCTCGCTGGCATTGGAAGGCTTGCGGCGCAACATGGTCCTCTACCCCCTTGACGGTCGGTCTCTGCTCTCCTGGGAGTCAAGGTACAGAGGCCTCTTTTTCAGCCTCAAGAGCACCGACCCGAGGGGACAGCATGGACTGAGCTGCTGGCTGCCACTCTGACTGCTTGAGTGGCAGCTTGGGGGTGCTGGCCATGGACAGACACCCTGAGGCAGAGGCATACAGGAAGCCCTGCCACGTGACTTGCTCTTACAGCAATCGCAGCCCCTGGCGGCCCCTGGGGAGGAAGGAAGTCCCAGCACCAGAGATTCTGATGCAGACGGCGCTTGAGTTAAACCAGCAGAGAAAAGTCCCTACCCTGCCATCTCATGTCAGTCATCTCCCATTCTGTTCCTCTTCTGGGAGGTTGCCAGTCAACCTGACCAAAGGGTCTACTCGAGCCCTTTATCTTACTGACCACAAACCAGAAACCAGAAGTTAGGCCATTTCTTTGCCTGTTGGGCCAATGCTCTGGGTCACTTTGCATCACTTGTGTCATCACTGACATCACCCTATGACCACCACTCTCTTTGACAGCCAGCACCTTGCAGCCATGACCCTGCAGTCATCCTCACTCTCATCAGCATGCCTACGGTCTCCATTGCTAGAACATCTTCCCTACATTGCCACCATCAACAATAGCCACTATTGCCTTGACTTCCGCCATCCTCCTACCTGTCAGTTACCGCAAGTCAACACTATTAACACTTATCTCTACCACCATCACCCTCACATTCATCACTCCTCACAACCATCCATCACCACATCCAGGCAGCCAACCACCCACATTGTCATTACAGCCTTCAGGCAGTCCCGCTCCCATCAGCCTCATTACTGTTATCATTGCTAGAACAACAAAGTGCCTCCATCTGGCTCTCCACTGCCACTACGCCCTGAAGGGCCATCATCCTCACAGTCACCTCCATTGATGCCCTCACCCTTCCAACCATCACACCTACAGCCACCAGTCCTACAGACTCTGCCCTACAGTTATCAAACCCACTGCCACCTGCACACCTACAGCCATCCCCCCAGAGAAGTTGCCCTTAGAGTCAACACCCCTTAGCCATCACCTATTTGTCACCAGCACAGCTGTTACCACAAGAGCGAAGACGTACGTGCAAGTAGCTCCAAGCACCAGCAAATGTCATCCTCCACAGGCATTTGTCCAACGGCTGTGTGCTAACCGTAGAATGTTCCCTCTGTGGATTATCTGTGGCAGATACTTTAATGACTTGTTAAGAAAGCAATGCATAAGCATCACATGCAATGTAGCAAGGACATATAAACAAGAAAGAGAATGTAAGCATTCTCTTTAATTGTCTTCCATATGGTTTGGATGAATATCCAGTTCTGTTTTTCAGCATTCATCACCTCTCTGTCAAGATACATTACAGAGAATCATACGCACAGAAAGCAGATCAGAGATTTGGGGAAGGAGAAGGAGGGGTATGCGGGTGATGGCTATCTTCACCTTCTTGATTGTGGTGATGGTTTTGTGGAGGTATATGTATGTCAAAACATAAATGATACACACACCGGCATCAGTTTTGTGGAGGTATATGTATGTCAAAACATAAATGGTGCACTTTAAATACGTGCAGCTTATTGTAGGTCCTTTATACCTAAATAAAGCTGTTTTAAAACTAAAAATAAATTTAAAACAGTTACATTTCACCAACTGTTGGTATCTGCTTGTGGCTCTTAACACAGGGTGGTTAAGATGGTCTCATGCTATGAACTCGTCCTCAACTAAGGGACTGATGGCTGCCACTTAGGCAGTTCCATGAACTTGGGTTGATTCAGTTGTTTTACTAGTCGTTGAACATCCCTAAGGGAAATAGTAACATCCATGAGATTTTTTTCCCTTAGGATGGAGTTCCAGAAGGGGACTTGGGTAAAAGTTATGCATCTTTCTAGGCTTTCCATTCGGCGGCACTTGTGAAGCCCTGGGCTGGCCCTCCCCTGTTCCCAAGAAGTTCTGGTGACTTCCTGCATGTCCCACCATACATCCTCGGGGCGAGCTCAGGAAAGAACAAGGTCCTTCTCCTCCCAGTGAAACCGTGCTGTTTTGACTCAGTCCTACTCAGCCTGCCAGGTGAAATCACCAAAAACTTCCATGCCTGCAGCTCGCTTCCCAGGGACGGGGTCGGGGTTGTGGGGAGTGGGGGGAGTGATAGCACTTCTTACCCTGACAGCCCTCCTCGGTTGCCCAGGGGGGGAATGTGCTGTGTGGGAAAGAGCTTGGCATCAGTGGGGGGCCAGAGGGCTTTTGGTGCTCTGCGCACCCAGCTAGGGCCAGGAGGACAGCGCAGGGAACGGGGGTGGGGGGTGGTACTGGGTGGGGGACGTGGCTAGGGGCTGGGGGCCTGGGATGGCTGGGGCCACTTGGGGCTGGCGGCCGGAGTGACCAGGAGGGAGCTAGACGAAACCCTGGGCCTGAACCGCGACAGCCTGTCCTTGCCCAGGCGCACAGGATGTGCCCAGCTTCCTGTTTGCTCAGTCCCGCAGCGCAGCGAGCTGAACTCACATACTAACCGCAAGTCTTCAAAGCCAGTCAGCTAACTGGGGCGCCGGGCGGCTTTCTAACCCAGGCTGGGGAAAAGGCAGCAAGTGGGGTGAGGGGCCCTCAGCGAGAAGAAGAGGCCACCAGTCCCCAGGACAGAGGGGGGCAGCGTTTTCAGCCCCCCCCTTCTGGCTCCTCTTCAGATCTGTCTCCTCTGTTGGGCAGTCAGTCTCCCTTTCCTCCCAGGGTCCAGGTCTCCCCCATGTGGAGGGGCCCTCCCTCCGCTTTTCTCTCCCTGAAGATTATCCCGGCCAGAGTCCCTTGACCCACGGGCCCTAAACATTTTAAAATTAGTTTCTCTTCCCCTCCCAGGCAACACAGCTCCATTTTACAGGTTATGTTGCAGGTACACAGAGCCCTCGGTGAAGATGTGATCCAGGCCAGTGGGGGAAGGAGGCCACCTCAAACTTGATAATGGGCTGGCTGACAGGACCTAGGAGCGAGCTCTGGACAGCGTCTTACGCTCTGCACTTTGAGAAGTGAAAAATAACTGTCAAGGCCTGTACAGCTGAGGGCTTCCCTCCTAGCTGGGGTGGCAGGCTTACATTTGCCCAGCTCTTGTTCTTTGCCAAGCACTACACGAGGCACTTCACGAACGTTATTTAATCCCACCACAAGCCTCCGAGGTAAGTAGCTCAATTTGGAATTAGTGTTGCAAGGTTGTGGCCAGTGTAAAATTCAGGGCAAGAGAGCTTTGCCCTTAGCAGCAACATTTTGGAAGTGTGTGTGTATGTTGATGTGGGGTGTTCCACAGAGAGTGAAATTTGTTTGAATCTTCAGAGGGCAGACACGGGCTGCCAAAGACACAAAGGTCATGGCTGACTGCATTTACACAGAGCCGCCCCCCACCTGCACCCCCTCCGAAAAGATTCTAATTTGGGAGGTGATTGTGGGTGTGATATTTGGGCAGGTAAGACGCAGGCATGTCTGAAAGTGTTCCTCACTCTCTGAATGAGTACAATACTGACTGGAGACCGTAAGTCTTCGGATAGCAGGGGATACCTATATTTGGAAAAACTTCCCAAATGATTCTTTTTTTTTTTCTGCAGAGAGCTGAAAAGGGTTTGTTCACACAGGGAGTAAGGAGAGAGAACAAGTGATTGTTATTCTCACTTCTCCCTCTCACACTCAGACTCCAGTTGAAAACAAGAGCTCTACGTTGAGGTTTTACATCAGCATTTAGGCAGGTGCCATAAGCCTCATTTTCCACGGAGGAAGCGGAGGCCCAGAGGGGTGCCACAGACTGTGCTAGATGAGAGCGAGCTAGGAAGCGGCAGTAGGGTTTTAAATATAATCTGGTCTTGGTCCAGGGCCCTGTTACTAACCACACTGATGAAGTCCGGCAGAAGCAGAGACCCTGAAGGAGGAGATCAGAGAACTGGCTCCTCGTGCTGGCTTTGGAGGCCAGTGGAGAGTGAGGAGGATGGGGCAGGCCCTGGAAGTCACCTCATATGCACGAACAGCTGGATAGCTAGGACAGATAAGTGGGGATCTCTAGGGGAGCCCTTGTCGAGCTGGGGAGTACTCAACACCTGTAGTTTTTGGCCTAGAGTCTCGGGGTATGGAAGCGAATAGACTTTAAACAACTGCCCTGAAGGAGATGGGGGGAGTTCTGGGTGACAAGGAAGGATGAGAGGCAGATAAATGGAAGGTTTGCATTCCTTCCAAGGAAGATATTTTCGATCTTCAGGTGGTACTAGTTCAGCCCTGGTAAGTAGAAATGATCCTACCGTTTAGAAATGATCAAGCAGAAACCATATAGTCCCTTGGAAACACCTGGGCATTTCCAAAGTAAAGTCCACCTTGGTAGCCCGACCTCTTTTGCAGATTTCATGATGGTGATCTCAGGCAGGGAGGGTGAGAAGGGCGACAGGGAGGGAGAGCAGGAGGGCAGAGTTGATGCTCGGCCCACGCCAGGGCCTCCAGCACAGCCAGCATACAAGGAACTGGCAGCTCTGGGAACACGGGGGCCCTTGGCAACAGGGGCTGATGGGAGAGAGAGAGACAGTCATCTCTGAAAGTCGGAACTGGGAACTCGTGATAAGGTCTGGGTTTAAAAGCAAACACCTGCAGGCAGCTGTGGTGATTACAGTGAGAAGGGGAGGCGGGGTTCGATGGTCGGCTGAGAACGGACTCCCTGGATGGCCTTTCTTTTCTTTTTTAAAAAATCCTTTCTCTACTTTTACTGAGGTAACATTGCTTTACAACACTTGTCTGCTTTACGAGTAGAGGTTCATACCTCTTCAGATGTTTGTTATTTGTGGAGACTGGGAGGGACTGGGCTGCTCTGTCCCAGGGTTACAAGGACAAAGGTTGCTGAGCAGGAGAACACCTCCCAGAAGTGGAGTCAGAAGCGCTTTCAAACGACCATATGTTGCCTACTGGCTGCGAGACCGGGGACCTGTCCCCTTGGGCAATGAGGTCTACTAAAGATAGTAACGGATGATGTGGGGCAGGAGTGAGTGACCTAGATGACAAACAGAGAGCGCCACCCAACCCAGTGCTCTGCCTGCTGGGTGACATGCCCGCAGTTCACTCTAGTGTCCCCCTGGAGTTTCTCCTTTTGCCCTGGCAGTTGCTGCCATGTCCCATCCGGGCCCCAACTGAATCTCTACTATGTGACCCTGTGGCCTACATCCTGTGTGTCTCCACCTTGTCAAGGGTCCCTCTGTCCAAGCTATTCTAGAACACAGAAGATGTGACAAGCCAGGGGATCTGTACCTATGAGGGACCTGCTGGGAGGGCAATTAGTTTCATGGCAAGCCTGGACCACTGGGGCTTTCTCAACCACCCATCCTACCCCACTTGACTTTAACTGCTTGCTCAGTTCCTGTTTTACAAAGAAACAAGGAAGTGGAGGTGGGCCGGGCCCAGGGCAAGGCTGGCTGGGCAGGGCTGGGGAGCGCCTCCCACTGCCAGCTGAGACAGCCTAGGAGGACAGGGATGGACAGGGAGGAAGCAGTTGCTGTCGAATCTTTCGTATTTCTATTTTCTTTTGACACCAAGTGCCCAGCCACTGATTTGAGGAAGTGCCCAGTGAGTCGGTAAATTCACAGCTGACATGGTTCAGCCAGCCCAGCCCCTTCTGCGGTTCCAACTCCTGAAAACTATAACCCGGAGTGGGCAAACAAGAGAGGACTGAGTTATGATTTTTAAAATGAACCATTAGACTCGCGTGTGTGCATACATACATGTGCGTGTGTATCTGTTATCTCACGCAGGCTCTTTCCTGTTCCATAAAGGATTTAAAGTGTCGAGAATTGTAGCTTGAGCCTATCATCACCGCTGTTGTCACAGCTGTGTGGCCTTCAACAGATGTCCTTGGGCCCCACTCTGCTCATTCGAGGCAATAAGAGAGAGACAGAAAGCAAGAGAGAAGCCGTCAAGGTACTGGACCTGCAACTATTTCCAAGACAATTTCACGGGGAACCCAAGAGGGTGGGTGACTTTTGTCTGGGACTCTGCCCATGTGACATTTGTGAGGAATCTCAGTTCTCCAGGGATCCTACCTGGAAACACAAATTATATAGGCTCACAAGCCTGCGCAGTTTTAACCATTGATATATGAAAGGTGAGCGCCTAACCTTTTCCTATCTACTTCCAAAGGTGAGACAAGAGTTAATCTCGTGATGGGTGAATCACAGGGTTATCATCTCTTGTCTGCATGACTTCCTGACTTACAGAGTGCAGTCACATCCGGGTCGTATGGGTTCTCACTGTAACCTCACGAGAAAGGTAGTACAGGTGGTTTACGAACAGGAAAACTGAAAGACCAGAGACATCATTGACTTGTCCAAGGTCACACAGCTGGCACTGAGGGGACTAGAAACCTACAGGCCTCACTCCTAGGAAAAGGGGTTCTTCCCTATGTGCCACCTCACAGCAGCAATCAGCAGGCAAGGAGGGATTTGATAAGCCCCACCCTCCAGTATAAAAGCAGGGGATCAGACCCCAAGAGGGCATCGATTTCTTTTAAGTCCCTAATGATGTCTCAAGTGGCCCTGTGCGTGTTAGCTCTGGTGTGTGCAGCTGAGACCTTCCCTGCCCGATTTAGAGTGAGGCCCTCAAAGCAGGAGGGGTGGTGTGCCCACCATCCTGGGTTCAAGGAGGGAAGAGCTGGGGTGGCTGCAGCCCCCTTTCACCCATGCTTCTAGGGCTGGGGTGCTCAATGTCAAAATGGTGGATTGGAGGGGGACAGTTATATTACAGGGAGGCGATGAGGCTGAGCCCTGGGTCTTACCCGAAGGGGAGGGAGGGGAGCTGCCCTGGACTGAAGGGCACGTGAGTGGGTCAGGGTCAGGTGCTCAGCCCCCTCCTGTTGCCCACCGCCCGCAGTCTGAACTCTGCTTCTCACCAACCTTATGGTTCTGGCTCAGCCTCCATTTTCTCATGTCTAAAGTGGTGAGAACCGCATGTCCCTTACTGCCAGGGTGGGCTCTGGCATCATCTGGCTAATTTGAATCTTGTGCTTTTCCTTTTCTTGATGAGGAAGTGGAGCAAGTTGCTTCATCTCTATGAACATCAGTTCGTTCACTTGTCAAATGGAAACAATAAAAGTACCTTCTCGCAGGTGGCGGTGGGTCAGTGAGAAAATACAGTAACATATGTTTGGGAACTTAGGAAGAGAGTCGAGTTCTTACCACAGTACAATAAAACCCTTTTTAAAGAATGCACCTAAGGCACAGCGCCTGGCGTTGCGAAACAGTAAATGGCAGCGACCTGATGATGGTGACTTCAGTTTTATTCCTGGCGGTCTCTGCGGGACCCACACAGAGGGAGCAAATGACTCAGCAGAGGCCCACCGTTGGGCGCTCCGGACTCTCAGCGAGCCTGGGGCTTTCGCTTGCGTGCCGGGGCGGCGGTGACTGCCGCAGGTCACCCTCCTCCCAAACTAGATGTGGGGGAAGCCAGCCGCGGGGGGGATGGGGGGTGTGGGGGCTCCTCTGCCCCGCCTGCACTCTGACCCAGAGCCTCGGCGCTCTCCTTCCCCGGACTGAACTCCTGCGCAAAGGCGTCGATCACAGCCTCGCCGCACTGGACGGGTCCGGCGTGGGGCTCTCCCACCCTCGCCGAGGCTCCGCCGCCGGTGGCGCGGGAGGTGGAGGCATGGGCGGGACAGACGTGTGAACGCGACGGCGCTCGCACACCTGCCCGCACGCATGCTCACACGCACCGTCTCGAGCCCTTGTGCGCCCCAGCGGAGCTCCGGGAGCTCGCGTCCCCGCCCCCACCTCACCCCTCTCTTTCTCTCCCACCACAAAAGCCACAGGTAACAGCAGCCCCCGGCAACCGGCAGACACGATGCAAAACCCGAGGCAGGCCGGTTGCCAGGCTGTTTTAAGCACCGAGCAGGATGTGAGTCCAGGTGCCTAACGGCTGCACCCAGCGGAGACTATCCAAACCCCGCCCGGACAGCGGGCTCCGTGTAGGGAGGCTGGCGCCAGCGGCCTGACCTTTCTGGTCCCGCCTCCTCCCAAGCAAATGGGGGGGAGGGGGTTCCTTGGACAGTCCTACCCCTCTGCTGCTCCGTTTCCTGTCTGTAAAATGGGGCAGCCAGACTAGTCTGCCCACACAGGTTAAAGGAAGGCCACCCAAAGACGCGGGGGGACCGAACAACCTTGTCACTGTGGTGCCAGTGTGTGTATGTGTGGGGAGAGGGGGTGTCAAAGAGCTCCCTGAACCAGGAAGTCAGGGATAATGATGGGCCCCTTTGTGCAGGTGGGTCCCACCTTTGCGCATGGCCAGAATCCAGGGGCCTGTCTCTTTCCCTCATCCCCAGGTCACATTCCTACAGCTTTCCTCCCCAGCCCGGTGCCCAAGGTGTTTGGCATGGAACTCAGTCAGGGCATAAGAGCCCTGGGCACACCTGTGGAGGGTAGAGCTGGTGTGTGTACCTCTTCCCCAGCTGGTCTCCCTGACCCTGGGGGGGCAAGCATGCAGCCATCCACCTCCCCATTCCTCTCCCTTACAGGCTCAGCAGGGAGCCTGGAGTCAGCCCTGGAGGGCAGCTAGGAGGCCAACATGGGGCCTGGGGCAGGTAGGAGTGACAGGGACAGCCTCAAGAGCGTGGGAAGAGCAAGGAGTCAGGAGCCAGCATGCGTGTGAACAGCTGTGGCTATATTCAGCGGGTGGTGACAGGGCAGGACTTCCCAGGTCCGCGGAGCCCCTGGGGGTACGGGCACACCCTACTGGGCTTTTTGAGATGCGGAGCAGTGGCAGCAGGTTCTGCCGGTTCTCAGGTAGGCCTTCTGAGCTCAAGAGAGGAAAGACACGAACTGGTATTCCTATCCCAGATTTAGGGCTGGGAGTGAAAGGAGGGTGTACAAGTCATGGTACGTGGGGTGTGACTGTCTGGGGCCTTGAAGCCTGGTGTTCCTAGTGCTTGATTCTGGGGATAGACGCTGAGGGCTCTGGTTTCCAGGGACTCTTGGACCTGGGTGGTGCAGGGTAAGGGGAGCCGAACGAGGATCAGCAGGGGCATCCTGAGCCTCTAGATGCTCCAACCAAGAACGGCAAGAGAGGAGATAGCCACCAGCGAGGCCAAGGAGGCGATGCACGGGGCTCTTCCGGACAGGGGCTCCGTTTGCTTCTGCAGCCACTCGAACTCCTTCTGTAGCTGGCGCCGCTGCAGCTCAGGGCCCAACTTCTTCCGGATGGTCTGGTAGTAGTCATTCAGGTACTGGAGCTGCGAAATATAGGAGGGGTGAGGGCTTCCCTAGGCCAAGCTGCCAAGAGGTGAGGTCTTGATGCCAACCTGTCCCCTGCTGTGGTGCTTTGCTTCCTTTCCACCTTGGCCCAGGCAATTTCAGGGCTTTTCAGAGGCATTTCCTCCTGCCTCCCAAGGCAGTCTCATGTCATACTGACTTTCATGGTGAGTGAGGGACAGGAAAGGTTTTCAGGTCCATGGATGAAATGAGAGTAAATAGGGCAGATATAGTCTCCCCATTTCACAGAAGAGGGAACTGAGGCCCAGAAAGGAGAAAGGATTGCTTGTAGTTTTAGGACTGGAGATAGCAGAGCCCAGCACCGAGTTTTAGACTTCCCAGGCTCACTACCTGGGGTTGGACAGACTCATTTGACTGGAGAGTTCTAGAAGCTCTGGGGTCTCTAGTCGACTGGGGAAAGATGTCCCAATGTGTGCCTATAGGTGCCACTAGTGTGGACCTTCCGGGGGAGGAGGGGAGGTGGAGGGCTTGGGGGTCAGGGAAGCAGCGGTGAGAGAGGCCTAAGGGGAGGGCGAAGGCAGTCAGTGGCTCACAGGTTGAAGTGGGGGACAGTGCTGAGGGGTACTCACCTGCTCGGGGGACAGCAGGCTGACCTCGATGAGGTTCCGGTCATAGGGCACCAAGGACACCATTTCAAAGGTCAGGTAGTTACCTGGGTACTGGGAGGACACGGGGAAGGTGGGAAAGAAGACAAATGAGGGATGAGGAAGAACTAAACTGAAGAGGTGGGGACTCTCCACCCAGAAGCCATGGGCACAGGGGACTGACCCTTGTCAAGCCAGAGATACAGGGTAGGCCTGACCCTCCCATGGTGCCTTTGGCCAATACCCTGTCTAGCAATGATCACCTCACCTTTGGTGCTACCCTTGGGTTCCTGAAGTTTAGACTTAGGTCTTTGTTTCTCAAAGTTGTGCATCCACAGCACCTAGGGAGCTTGTTAAATATGCAGTCTGGGACCTATCTCTTAGGCCACCCACGTGAGAAACTAGGGCAGAGCTGGGAACCTACATTTAAATAATTTAAAGATAAGTATTAGGTATTCATCCATTCTCTATCTCTCCATATGTCTAACTGTGTATCTATTGGTTGATCTATCTATAGGGAAAAGTATAAAGAAGAAAAGCTAGCCCACGATTCTTATCTCCCGGGCAACTCTGACATGCAGAGTAAGTCCTTACTGAATCTCATTGATAGGTTCTCAGAAACTGTGACTTTAAGAGAAACAAGGTATAATAAAAGCAGGTTCTCTGATAACATCATTTCAGACAAGGTCTGCAGGGATTTTCTTTTTACTAATGTTCTATCGAAACAATATTGAACAAAGGGACATTATATGAGGACCTTGCTGTATGTGCCTAGAAAATTCAAACCACAAATGATATTCAATAAAAATGGAAATTCTCCTTCCTGCCTGGTTTCCTTCCTAAAAACATTTCAGGGATTATAGCATATATCTGTTTATATTTTCAAAATCTATGCAAAATGGATCCTACCATACACATTTTTCTACATACTTCCGAGTCTCCTTTAAATATGGAGAGTAAACCAAGGTGAGCTCTCCATATTTAAATGGGGGAACTGACCTCATTCTCTTTAAGGGCTGCATAAGGGTTCACAGGAGGTGGGTGGAGATTTCTTTAACCAATGATGGATATTTAGGCTGCTTCCAATTTTTTTTTTTTTTTTTACTCTTTTCACCAATGCTGCAATGAACATTATTTTATTAGCATCTCGGTGACCTTTGGGGACTATATCCAGAAGGTGTATGTCTGTACAGGGATTGCCAAGACAGACATTTTTACTAGGAAATTTGATATTGTCAAGCTGCCCTCCTGATAGGTGGTACTAATTTGTACTTTCGCCAACAGTGTATGAGAGTGCCTGTTTCTCCACATACTCACCAGCACCAGTATCATTAAAGTCTCTACTTTTCTCCAAATCAGATAGGATGGGTGAAACATGCTATTATATTGCTGTTTTGGTTTATATTTTTTTAAAGAATAAATTCCAGCTTCTTTTCAAGCTTAGAGAGCATTTATATGGATCTTAGTGAATTGCTTCTTTATGACCTTTGCCCTTTTTTCCCTATTTTCACTGTTTTTCTTATTGATTTGTGAAAGTTCAGCGTAAAAGAAGGAAACTCTTCCTTTCTCTGTCATAGGTCCTATATTTATCATGTATCTTTTTACTTTCTTTATGGTGTTGTTTCCGGATAGACATTTTTTATTTAGTCAGAGTCATCAATCTTTTCCTTCTTGGCTCTTGGATCTTGCATAGAAAGGCTCTTCTCCACATGGAATTATATGTGAATTTATGTAGGTGTGTAGGTTTTCTTCCAGATATTTTGTGGTTTCATTTTCAAGCCTCAATTTGCTTGGAATTTTATTTATTTATTTATTTATTTATTTATTTATTTATTTATTTATTTATTTAAAATTTCCAAATTGCTATAGGCCACTGACTTTTTTTTTAAAGATTTATTTATTTATGCATACAAGAGCTGGGGTACAGGCCAGAAATGTGGGGGGGGGGTGAGAGGACTCACCAGAGACAGAGTGGGGAGCAGAGCAGGCAGATTGACGAAATACACTGCTGAGGGGAGCAGCAGGCGAGACAGGAGAGGTCTGCCGCGCCATGTGGGTTACCCCTTGCCGGCCGGCATTGAACCGGCGCTGCAGAGGTTTTGGACCCCTTCATAGTGCGTTGCTGGGCCACCAGGGAGGCCCAATTTGCTTGGAATTTTATTCTGGTGTAGCAGTGAATTTCTTTGGTTAACCCCCCACCCCCACCAAATGATTAGCCATTTGTACCCGTTGCCCTTTTAACGAGCAATCTCTCTCTTCTTTAATGTTTGGAATCACCAGCTTTATTGCAAACTAAATTCTCATTTTATTTGTGGGAATTTGAGGGTCTGTTTCTGGACTGACTGTTCTGTTGGATTGTTCCACCTGTCTCACCCACCTCTGGTGTCGCTGTTTTGGATGTGGGTAGCTTCATAGTATGTGCTAATATCTAAAGGAGTTAAGTTCCCTTATTGCTATTCCTTTCACAATTTTCTTAGCTACCTATTTTTACAGATAAATTTTATTATCATTTTGTGAAGTTGCAACAGTTTCCAGTTAGCACTGAAATTGAGGTTGTCTTGAATTTATAGATCAATTTAGGGAGCGATGACACCTTCATAATATTAAGGCTTCTTTCCAGAAAGCACCAATTACTTAAATCTTTTTTACATCCCTCAGTAGATTTTTTTTTCAATGTAAGTCTTTTTAAGTTTATATCTAGGTATTTTATCTTGTTGGCTGCTGTTATATGGAAATCTTTCTAAGAAGCTCCTGTAAGTGTGTTCAGAACCAAGGATATTTAGGGCAGGGATACTGATACACTTGGTCTGGATGACACCTGGGCATGGGCATTAAAAGAAAAATGAAAAGCTCTCCAGGTGATTCTAATACGCTAATGTGCAAACAAGTTTGAGAATCTCTGATTTGTGGAATTTTTGTCGCACCAAGGAAGATGCCAAATTGTCTCACGCCCACACATTAAATGTCCTCTCTTTTGACACTCCTCACGCGCCATGCAGCCCAAAGTTATCTCTAGCCCATGTTGGCGGCACTTTACCTTGGTCTTTGCTTCGACCACAAGTACCACGTCTTCAAGACGGATCCCAAATTCTCCATCCTGATAGTAACCAGGTTCTGGAAGGCACAGAGATGCTGGCGGTATTAAGCAGGGGGAGGACCCAAGCCCAGCCTTCTTGTACCCATGGAGGAGTGCCCAGAGGACTGCTTGCCTGGCTGCCCCTAGCTGTTGGCTTGGGCAGACTCATCATTGTTAGAAGTTCATTGGCCATGAAGGGGCAACCTGTCAGGTCTCAGATTCCCCCATCCTCCCTTGTAGCCCACTGAGGAAGAGTTAGGAGCCTACTTAGGTCCTGGAGGTACTCCCTTCTGCCTGTGTGCACAGTGCTATTATCCCAGTGTTTGATTGGAGCTGCTAGAGTTTTGAGGGACAGCTCCCAAAGGCAAAATAATGGTATGGGCTATAGGGGCTGGGTGTGAGGGGGGCACAATCTATTTGGTGCTGGAGTCGGGAGGGGAGGGAAGGTAGTGGGGGAACCTAGGCTTGCAAACGCCTAGGGTGCTTCCTGAAGGCTGATGCTCCCTTGGCAGCATTTCTGGGCGAGTCTTAGAGCGGGGAGGGGGCGGGGGAGCCATACCAATAGAAGTGAACATGCCCTTGGCCATAGCAATGTTGTCCGACTGGAATCCCACTGGCCCTGGAAAGGGAGATACAAACCCAGCGTCAGCTCTCCTGTACCCATCAGCCTGGAAACTAGCAGGGATGGGGGAAAGCAGGTAACTAGACCTCACTGGGCATCGCCAGCACTTGTCTAATGCATCATTGCATACTTGGGCCTGGAACAGACCAGAGAAGCTCTGGCTTTTATTTCTCTGGGGTCTATGTTGGTTGGTGGCTAGGCCTTGACCTGCCACTGATCTGCCTGGGGCCCTCCCCGATGCCAAGCTGGCAACCGGAGTGGTCAGCTGCCAGCATTTCTCACTTACCCCTTGGATCCTCACCCCCCAGCAGCTGAGGGTCCTTGGGTGGGCCACTCTGGGGCTTGGTCAATTTCATACCTACCTCTTTCATAAGTGGGGGACCCTGGGGATTTTTGAGGTGATACCTACACTCATGCACACACAGGAAGTTGCCAATGCCATGGCCTGTCCCGTGACCATAATTGAGCCCAACGTCCCACAGAGCTCTGCGAGCAAAGGCCTCCACCATTCGCCCTGGAAGAGAGATGGCCCCCAGTCAGTCAGTTGGCAGAACCCCAGACTGTCTTGCTCCCTCCAGCTCTCTTGATCCAGAGTCAACTACCAAGATGGTGCCTGAGGAGAGGGGCAGGTAGCTATACATTATCTCCAGTGTATCTCACATTGTACACATGACCTGGCCTGATGATTCTACTATATTACCTCCCCATCTGTCAAAACACCTTCTTGGAATCCTCCAGTGACTGCTGCAGCCCACTCTGATGCCCCCCACCCAGTGTTAGATTAGGAAGCAGGAGGCCTGGGCTCGAGGCCTGGTTCTCTCACCAACACTCTGTGTGACCTCGGGCCAGCTGCTTTCTCTCCAGCCTGCATTTTCTCATCTACACCATGGATAGCATGATGATATAATCCCTGCCCTTCTAGCCTCCCAGAGTGATGGTTTGGGTCCAGAAGATCAGCTCTTAAGGCTATGGGTCCAGCCTGGTCTCTGAAACCCACCTGATGTAGCAGCAGGAAAGATGAGTCTGGCCAGATCAATGTTTCCCATCAACACGCGGGTATACGCCTCCTGATGGGGACAGGGAGGGACGTGACCACAAGAAGAGGAGCCCAAGAGCTTCCAGCTTCTTGGCCTGTGTGCACACATGTGTTTGTGGGCCCAGGCCTGTGGGGGACAGGTTCACGCACCTCCTATGTGGTCACCCAGGTTCTGGAAGATGGCCAGAGACTGAGGGAACCTTCCTAAAGCTGGGGCTTGTTCCAGGTGGTTCTGTTTGGTTGTCCACAGGGATGTTTGCAACTAGGGAGTTGGGAGGCAAACTCCCTGGGCTGGACCCCAGACTTAGTCACTCACATTCTGAGACCTCAAGCAAGTGACGTTAATTGCTCTGTGCCTCAGTTTCCTCCTCCGTAATGGGCCATCACAGTACCAGCTCATCAGTTGTTGGGAGGAGGAGGTAGGCTCATGCACAAAAGGTGCATCAAAGGGAAAATGCCAGTATAGAGGTCAGGGCCCTTATTGCTATTGGCACCATCATCCTTTAGTTTTCTTAAGGCCTCAAGTTTGGGGTGGGCCTTATAATTGGGCAGGACAGCCTTGCTCTGTCAGGGCTGTTACCCTGTAGAAAGGAGGGAGGTGGGCTGACAGCAGCCCTTCCTCCCGGTCACCTCCCATGGCAGTGATATTGATTCCCCTTACACTCACTCTCTCACTCTCTCTTTCTCTCTCTCTCTCTCTCTCTCTCTCTCTCAATGTTGGAGCCACAGTCTGCTTGCTGGATGCATACAGGGGGCCTCCTGCTCCCTCCCCCAGGCCCCCAGTGCACATCGATATGCCCCAGACTCTGTCTTAGGTGCACCAGTTCCTTTTCACTTCGCAGACATTCCACCTGTGAGACTGTATGCCATTTCTCTCCACTGGAATACCTTTTTTCCTCCTTTCTGATGAGCACAGGGCTAGGCACACAGATAGCTAAATCACATTTGTTCACTCATAGTAGTAATATTTGTTCCTGTGTGAATGATAGGTCACACATTTGGAAAGAATGGGACTTGTCTATTCTGTATGGCTGTCATGTCCAAGTGTTCACATTGTGCACTGTATAAAAGCAACACATTTGAATAAATATTTGTTCATTCATTTACTGAATTGAGCTAATGCCCTGTGAGTGACCTGAAATATCTCTGGGGAAATAGGTAGAGGCACTGGGTTTTCTGGTACTAACTTGCTGTGTGACCTCAGGCAAACTACCTAACCTCTCTGAGTCTTAGTTATAGTCTTTGTGAAATGAAAGGGCTCTTGGTGGGGTGACTATTCAGGTGTCCTGGGGGTAAGGTTGAGTAGGGGAACTCTGGGCCTAAAACTTACCTTTTGGAAAGAAGAGGGAGTACCCCAGTGGACTGTTCTGGTGATGTCTGTGGTTCCATCCCTGTGGAGAAGGAACATCAACGTGTTCAGCAATGCTGAACGTGTGGGGGTAGGGTTGTGGCCATGAGCTTCCTGTGTGCTTTCCACTGGGGATGGAGCAGCAGGCTGCGATGTGGGTGGGGTGGGAAGTGAAAGGAAGAAGACTGTTGCCATCATCAAATTTCCATATTCCGAAACTATGTGTGAAGGAGCTCTGCAAAGCTATGAAGTTCAAAGTCACAAGGTTGTCAGAGGTGCCCCATTCCCTACAGTCATATTCCACCCTATACCACTCATTTTGGCTCTTTTGTATATCTGGATTTACTCAGGTCAGGCTGACTCTAAAACCCAGGCTTCCTGGGAGGTGAAAGGGGACTGTCTCATGTTTTTAGATGGGGAAACTGAGGTCCAGAGAGTTCATTACACTCTCACAGTCAGAGCCATTCACTATTGATAGAACACATTGTAGCTCCCTGCGACAGGTGGCAGAGCAGGCCTGAAGATCCCCATTTCACAGATGAGGCCATTGAGGCCTTCAGGCTGTCTCCCTCTCTTCGCCTCAGTGAAGCCAGGCCCTGAGAAGCACAGTTCTCTTTGTGTGGACTCTGCTTAGTGTCCCAGGAAACAGAAGCCAGAAGCCAAAAATTCTGCCTCCGAATAGGGAGCTACAGCTGGCGAGAGGGACAGGGGCGTGGTCCAGGGCCCTGGGGCCTCCTCTTTGGGAGCAGGTCTAAAGGGATGCTCTTGATTTCATGGTTATGTGCTCATGTCAGAGAGATCACTGAGCTGGTGGGATCCTAGGGCAGCGGGGAGCACCCTCCCACTCAGTCCCACGCATGGCTGTGCACGCACTCAGAAGAGCATGCACACGGAGCTACTCACAGACCTGCACCCATGCTGATGGGTGTGGCTGACTTCTTCAGAACTTGAGAAGAGGAAGTGAGGTGACCCTCTCCCTGGTCTCACTCAGCTCTGAGCATGCCCCAATCCTGCAACGCCCCACAAATTTACTTCCCCTTCGCAATTGGCCATTGCAACTGCACACAACTGCACTGGTGACTAACCAGCCAAGGCTGCTGGGCCTGCCTGCTGGCACTCAGAGGCGCTCGAAGAACAAATGAAGGGCCTTTGCATGAGCACACTGAGAGCATCGAGAAGGGGAATCCGTTCGAAACTTCTCCTTGCTTCTCCATCCGTTGGGTGCACCCCCTTCCTTTCCCCACCCTGAGCTTCCCACAGTCCACTCGCTTCTTAGATGAGAAAGGAACACCTGCCAGCCCATCTCAGCCCAGCTCCATGCACATTTGGAAGCAATGGGGTTAGCTTTTTCTGCATGGCCGTCATGTCTGGGTATTCAGGCTGTGCATTGTACAAGGGTAACGCATCTAAAGGGGTGCTGTTAACTACAAGGTCATATATTAATTTCAAAGAGGGTGCTCAGGTGGGCACACAGATGGAGGAGTCCTGGGGCAGGGGCAGCACCCTCCCACACAGCCCCACATGTGATTGTGCACACACTCAGAAGAGCATACACATGTAGCTACTCACAGACGCCCGCCGGTGCTGATGGGTGTGCCCCTTCCCCACCGTGTCCCAGGTGTCTCCTGAGGTTGCTTCCCTCACCTGCCAGCTGATCTTGGAGGCTGGATCCTGCTACTCCCAACCTAACATGGTGGTCTCACCACGCAGTGAGGGGAGGGGTGAGGGGAGACACCAGCTCAGTGCTGGTGGTGCACAGGCCATGAGGGTGTGCACAAGTGAGTGAGAAAACAGGTGAAGGATTTGTGCAACCAGGCATGGCTGTTCAACGTGTAATTCTATGTGGGCTCAACATGCATTTTATTTGAGCAATGGAAGCCTTTTCCTAATTCTCACGGAGGTGCTGCATGGGTAGCCCCACTGTTTTTGGCCTGTTTGCCTTTGTAGTATCCCCCAAGTGTAAAAACAGGCAAGATGCCCAGGGCCCATTCAATCCAGGCCTCCTTTCATAGATGAAGAATGTGCTGTCCAGAAAGGGAAGCTGAGGCAGCCAGGCCAGGCCAGGCTGGGGTGTACATACCAGTATTGTCCCCCAGAATCCAGCAGGTACATCTCATCTGTGGACAGCTTGCGGTTCTGCTCCTTGGTTGGGCTGGGAAGGGAGAGACATTGAGAAAGGAGCAAACTGACCCTGGGCTGGGTGGGGACCCCCCTTACTCTGGGGGACAGGCGTCCAGGCTAACTCCTTTGGGGAAGTCATTATCTCCCAAAGGGCTGTGGGTGAGTACTGAGCTTCTGCTACTAATGTCCTCAGTGCACATCAGTTTTACTTATACTTTGCTGAGCAATGTCGTCGTCTCCAGGGAAGGGAGAAAGGGAGGTGCCCAGAATGTGTGAGGGTCGAAAGCCTTAGAGACTATCCAGTTCAGCGTCTCCTTTTCCGTGAAGAGAAATGTCTTGCATGAGGCCATGTGGTAAAACTGGGGGGAGAACTGGGCCTAGACCCAGATGCCCAGCCCAATGCTCTTAGTCTAACTTCCTGCTGCCTCTTAGAGCAGAGGACCCAAGAAGCCAGGGCACAGGAAGGGCGGGTACCCCATGATGTAGCTGGGGAGAAAAAGTTGATAGGCCTGAGGAGTTTTTACCCTTTCATCTCATTCTCTCGTGGGGAAAAGGGGCTGGGCCAACGCAGCTGGAGGCTCAGGAGATGCCAGGAGAGGGAATTCTGGGATAGGTCAAGCTGTCCCTGGAAAGTGTCTGACCTCCCTCTGCTGTGCCCATGCCAGGCTGAGGTATCTGGTTGACTTGGCCTTCCCACATTTTGTCAGTCAGGCCCGCAGGTGTTTGTTTTCTACTGGGCTAAACATCTGGCCAGCACGCACTTTGGTTGGTTCAGGCTGAGTGAACAAGCCTTTCTCCCCGTGTGCTCATGAGCTTTAAGAATTAGCCAACATAAATAACTCACAGGAAGCCGAGGAAAAGTATCCCACTGCAGCCCTGCCTCCCTTCCAGCTCCCTCAGCCCTGAGCATTCACCAAGTCTAAGCCCCCCAGCTCTAGTCCCTACCTCCAGCCCCATAGCGTTAGAGGCCTCAAAGTGTAAATGTGGACTCAGATCCCGGAGCAGTCCTTTTCCTCCATCCCAGTGCACATGCACCAGGATTACCCCCTCCGAAGCCCGCCCCTCCCCCCACAGGGCTCTAGAAAAGTCTTTCTCTTTAAGTACCTGTAGTGGGCCAGGGCAGCATTCAGACCACTGGCAGAGATGGTTTCAAAACTGGGTCCATCGGTGAAATTTTCTTCTCTAGAAAGCACAGAGCAGGAATGATCAGTGACTGGACTCAGGGGCTAGGCCAGGTACAGGGTATCCAACCAGGGCAAAGGAAGGTCATGGTTCCCTCTACCTCAGCCAGATGTCTTGGTTCATTTTTCCAAGCCCCAAGCTGTCACTTACAGAACATACAAGGCCAGGGAAGGAGGACTGTAGACACCAATTATTCTCCCTCCACTTCATTTTACAGATGGGGAAAATATTCCCACAGTGAGTCTAAAGCAAGAGTGAAGAAATCTAGCTCCCTGTATCTGAAAATGTCCCCCAGCCCCAAAGCAGACCCTGCACCTCAAGCCTACAGTCTGCGCCTGGCCTAAGCCAAGCATTGCTCAACTTGACATTCCCCAGTGGGGCGGGGGGCTGCTGACCTGGCCTGCTGAGCCAGCTCCCCGTGGCCGGGAAAAGGTGAGGGGCGCGTGTCCAAATCAGACACCAGGGGGCGCTATTGTGTTGTAGCCCTTCCAGTTGCCCTGCTTTCAGCCTTGTTGGGAATGTCACACCCCCTGCCCAGTTCCCTGACCCCCCAAGAACCTGTTACAGAGAGGCCCCAAATACAAGGAGGGTTTTCCGTTCCTGAGTCAGGAGATCAATTCCCCCTCCCACCCCTGTCAGCCCCCGCCAATAGATAGTCAGCCGAAGAGAACAGCCCTGGTTCTTCACCCTCGGAACTTGTCCACCAGTTCTGCCCCTGAGAACTCGTTCACGGTGCCTTTGGGCACGTTCTGCTCCAGCCAGAACAGGTAGCGGATCACGGCCACGGCATCCCGCACCTGGAGCAGGTTCAAGCAAAGAGCAGGCTGAGGAGTGGTCCCTACCATGGCCGGGAGGGGCTGAGCCTTAAAAACACTACGGTTTCACTGGCTATTTGATATTAAGGGATTCTCATTAATGCTCATAGTGCGGTCTCCATTTTACAGATGAGGAAACTGAGGCCCAGAGAGGTGAGGCTCCTTGTTCAAGGTCACCCAGCTAGAAGGTGTGTGAAGGAGCTGGGGTTTGGACTGAAAAAACCTAGTTCCAGAGCAGGTGTTCTTAACCACAGCACCATGCCGGGACTAAGGAGGTGAGACACAGGTGGGTGCCCGGGAGTTTGGTGTCCAGGTCACTGTCTCATTGGGGGTCTTCTTCAGGGTCCTCCTGCCAGGTCACCTTTCTAAAGCCATAGACAGACCTCCCAAAGCCTATGTCTGTCTCTGTGGACTTACGTGGGTGGCCCTGAGCAGGGCCTGCTCCTTGCTGTTTTTCACCGCCTTGTTCATCATCACTGGGGAGTAGGTGTCTGCAACGACCTTCTCCTGTTGCAAGAAGAGAAGAAGAGGTTTGAGCGTCTCCTCCAGGCCACTGTGGTGTTGGAAAATGGTTGGAAGGAGGGCCTTCCCTCATGGTGGAGATACCCACATGGCGCAGCAGACTTCTCCTGCCTTGCCAACTGCTCCCCTCAGCAGTGTATTTCAGTCAGTCTGCCTGTTCCATTCTCCACTCTGTCTCTGGTGAATCCCCTCACCCCCACACCTCTGGCCTGTACCCTAGTTCTTGTATGCATAAATAAATCAATCTTTTAAAAAAAAAAGAAAAAATTTGGAAGGAAAGTCTGGCTGAGGGTGATCTGCTCTTTTTCCTGTGGCCTTTCCTTTGAGGGCTTTCTGGCTACACGGGTCTTTCCTAGTCTAGATCCCTGCCCCTGGATCCCACCAGTGCTCTGGGACAGATGAGAGCCTGGGTGGTTGTGATAGTGTCTGTTTTCTGCACGTGTTGTATCATCACAGCTACCATTTATTGAGTGCCCGCCCTGTGTCAGGCACTGGATTTTACAGGCCCTACCTATTCTAAAGCTCCTCAGAGCAACTCCTCTGAGGTGGCCAACCCCAAGTTGACTAAGTCACTCATCTCTGGGCAGAGCCAGGACTCAGTCTTGGGTCTGACTGACCTCAAAGCCTCTGCTCTACCAGGCTGTACTCTCTCTAACCTCTGGGACAATCTCTGAGCTCTCTGTGCACAGACATCCTGCTTCCTCTTCTTCTGTCTTTCCCAGAGAAGCTTAGAAGGGGACTCAGAGCCCCACTGCTGACTGACCAACTGCCTGAATGGCTGAGGGGCTGTGGACCCACTTTAGGTTGAAACTTCTTGGGGGGTGGTAGCTGGCCTGGGCTGTGGCCTGGCAAACCCACCTTGGGGATTACTTCATAGAGACCATACGTCGTATAGCTGGTCCCGATCCAGACCCGCACGTCTCTTGTGGTGTAGGCCTGCACGGTGTCACGGACCTGGCTGTACTCTTCGATTTGCACACACATGGCTTCCTTGCAGGCGGAGTTCAGGTACTGCAGGGTCTCGGAGTTCAAACGACTCTTATTTACAAATAGCCTGTGGGGAGGGGAGATAGGTGGGTCCTAATAGGTGGGTCTAAGGCCAAGGAGGACAAGAGACTCTGTTCTGGAGTTCTGTGCCAAGGAGCCAGGCACAAGATTTAGAGTATTCAGGAACAGAGGCCAAGGGGTCAGAAAAAGGTTGTGTGAGGCTTTCTAGAAGGTCATACTGGGGCAGACTCCAAGCTCATGGGCAGGCTGAACATTGGGGTGAGGGGTAAGTGGTGTGCAAGGGCTAAGTAAGGTGAGAGGGCGGAATGAGGAGAAAATCCAAGGAAGCATCATACCTGATGTCGGTGTGGGTGAGCAGTGCGTAGGAATAGAAGAAGGGGTTATAGGGAATATCCTTGCTCCGAAGGTTGAAGAGCCCTGGGAAAAAGAATAATGGGGACTCTTTGAGGCTGAGCTGCCTGAGGCAAACACATGTGACCTTCCCCACCCCCCACCACTGTTTGCTGTGACCCCCAAAGATTCCCAGCAGCACTACCTCATCTACCTCTGAAGTTTTCTGTCTTTTTTTTGTGGGGGGTGGGGTGGGGTTGAGACACTAATGAGAACTAGGTCCCCCCAGATACAGACTCTAGCCGACATGCCGTTTCAGTGGGTTTCCAGAATATCTGGAGCTTAGTACTGGGGTCAAGTAGGAAGGTTGAGCCATGCTGGTTCAGAATAAGGCCTCACCTGGTGCTAATGTTGGTAGTGGGAGTGCCCTGGGGTGCGGCCAGGCTGTTGGGAGGTGTTTATGGGGCCCCTTCCTCTTTGTGAGACAGAAGCCTTTGAGCTGTGTCGCTGTATTCCTCCAGAGGTACTATGGGCTCACCCCACCTTATTCTGGGGCTTCCTGCTTTCCTTATTTAGCAGCTATGAGCTCTGGGCTCCTTGCTCTTCTGAGTTTCCACAGACCATGGCCATGAAGCTCTCACAACTGGTAGGCCTAAGGCTACTGGGGGAGGAGCCCTGGGCTGCAGGGACCAGGAGGTTTGGCGGTTGGTGGGACCCAGGCACCCACCCAGGGCTGCAAGTCCATACTCACAGGCAGTCTCATCAAGCGCAGACAGAAGGACAGCAGTTGGGGCCTTGCGATGCTTAGTCATCTGGTTGCGGACCACATCTACTTTGTCCTGCCACCTGCTCCCTAGAAGCAAGGGCCCCCAAGGAAGTGAAAACCATGCCCTTTGGCACTTGTTCCTGAGAGTACTCCCGGAGGGCAGTAGTTTTTCATTTCTTTAAAAGCAGTAGAACCTGTTCTTCAACAAGACTCCAACTAGTTTAGTCACTGAGGACACAGACTCTGGACCCCAGTTGTCTGGGCTCAAATTCTGGCTCTACTACTACTAGCTGGGTGACCTTGGCCAAATTACTTAGGCCCTCTGTGTCATATTTTGCAGGTCTGTAACATGGAGACCAAATGAAGTAATATTTTTTATGCAGGTAGAATGGTGTTTTAGTCTAAAGGAAGGCTTAACTTTCTGATTAATAAATGAGCATGCAGGGCCTCCTTGGTGGCTCAGGGGTTAAACTCTCAGCGCTATCAGGCTATTGACAGCCACTGCAGCATGGGTTCCATCCCCGGCCAGGGAGATACCCAATTGGTGCAGCAGACCTCTCCTGTCTCGCCTGCTGCTCCCCTCAGCAGTGTATTTCAGTGGATCCACCTGTTCTGTCCCCCACTCTGTCTCTGGTGAATCCTCTCACCCACCGCACATCTGGCCTATACTCCAGTTTTTGTATGCCTAAATAAAACAAAAATGTTTAGAATAATAAATAAAAATAAATGGGCACACAGAACAGAGAGGAGAGTGAGCCCTAGTTGAAGGGCAAAAGGATAGGGCTGAGCCTATTCCCTGCAGTAAGCCACTGCCTACTAATCCAGGGATTTGGACAAGTACTCTCTCTGTGTGTGTGTGTGTGTGTGTGTATAGAGAGAGTGTATATATATATAGTATAGTATATATATAAGACTATATATATATATATATATATATATATATATATATATATATACTTAATCCTATCATGGCCAGTTCCAGATAAGGATTTTGAGGCTTCAGAGAGGTAACGTGACTTATCTAGGGTTTTATAGCTGGCAAGGGGTGGAGCTGAGTGAGGTTTGAACCCAGGTCTGTTTGACAATACAGCCCATAGTCAGTCTGCATGGATCGTGGACTCTCTTGCTAACATTATCAGCCTCCAAACCTGTCCTTAACACTGTGTCACAGAGCTGTCTTTTGTAGGATGTTTATATCCTGGTTCTAGAACTTTAGTTTTCATCTTTTGTCCTTACTTTCTGCAATGCATAGGGTCTGCCCCTAGGCAGGGCTAGGGATTTGCTGGCAGAAGGTCATGAGCATTAAGGATCCTAGTGAGGTTCAGGGAGGAGCATAAATGAGAACTTAGTGCAGTTAAAAAAAAAAAAAGATCTTATGCAAACAGGTAAAACTCTTCAACAAGAACCAAATCTTTGGGTACGATACAATTTTAGGCTTCTATTTTTTAATTGTAAAATACACATAGCAAAGGATTTTATTTTAACCGTTTGAAAATATGCAACTCAGTGATTTAAGAACATTCACAAGGTTGTGCAACTGCCACCACTATCTAATTCCAGAACATTCTCATCATCCCAAAAGGAAACCCTGTAGCCATTAGGCGGTCACTTCTCATTTCCCCCTTCCCCCAGCCCTGGAAACCACTAACCTGCTTTCTCTGTCTGTGGATTTGCCTGTGCTGGATACTGAAGGCAAATGGAATCAGACAATGTGGGGCCTTCTCTGACTGGCATCTCTCACTTAGAGTTATGTTTTCAAGATTCACGGATGTGATATTTTTTTAAGACAACAAACAGATTTAAATTGTCTGCTGCATACAGATATCTTTCAGTAAGCAACTTTTCATGCGTGGTTTTTCTTTGCCCTTTTCCCCTTTAAAACCCGTGAGCGGCTGAGAGAAAGTCTCTCTTGTCTCTATAAGCTTAAAGACTCAAGAACACTGTTCTTGGACTTTCAGGCCCAGTTCTGGCTCCCGATGGCTTTTTCTTGAAGACTAGCAGCCTGCAATGGCCCAGCATTCCCTCCCTTATGGGAAGTGACAGAACCCATGGGGATTCTCGCCCTGCCTCCTGAAGGCTATCCCCTAGATCTGCCTCCCCTCCCTGGCATCACTGTACCCTCCCTTATCTGAATGGGATGAGTTTTATTTATGATTGAACAGTCTTGGAGAGCAGTTTTCTTTAAAACGTGTCAAGAGGCAGAAAGAACGATTCTGTAAGTTACATCAAAATGATAAAGAAAATTGGACACAATTTAAAATGGTTTCATCAGGCCTGCTATTTTGAAATTTCCCTCCTGCTTTTTTGACTCCTTTCCAAAGAAGAACTGTGCATAGACCCAAGTGTGGAAGGGGGCCTCTCTGATTGCCCAATATTCCTAAGAATAAGTCTATTGGCCTGTTCAGAATTTCTGGGGAGGTAAAGGGTGGTGGTGGCCAAGACACTGATTCATAATCAGTAGGCTGCTCCATCAGGACTTTAGCTACAATTTACAGGAATTATAGCATGTAAAACATATTCAGATGGTGTCAAGGAAGCCAAGATTATTGATGTTAGAATTTTGGCGGGTGGGTCAGTTAACTTTCCTCTGTGACCTGGCCAAAACTGGTATCCTAGCTTGTGTCACAGACTGACCCCGAGCTTAGTTATTAGCTTCCTTTGTCCACCCTGGCCCACCCGAGTTGAGTTTTCCCAAATTGAAATCCCTCATGACAGGGAGACCAGAAGTCAAGGTTTGAATGATTCACTAGAAACTGAGCTGCACTACCAGACAAGCGACTCATAGCTCACTTGCTCGCTCTTCAAAGGGGTGGCTTTTTTCCATCTTTCTCTGATTTTTCCATCTTTCTCTGCTCCCTCTTGTTTCCAGTCCTAACATTCTTTATTCCAGCATTTTCTAAATTTGGTCTAAGGACCTTTTGATTCCAACTCTCTGAGGCAACAGGACAGACAAATCTACATTTTAAACAAGCATCCCAGGTGGTTGGATTTGATTCCGTGCACATAAAGTTTCGAGAGCTTTGGCACCTCCTGGGACAATTTTTTCAGTCAAAGGAGCAGTAGCAGGGACAGGTAACACATTGGGAGACAGAACTGGCTTCAGAAATTACCTGTGAATTCCTCCTGCAGGGCATAAATAGGCTTGCTGGGAATCGGAGGTCTCTCTGACCCCCACACCTGGTCCACGAGGTTGGTGGTGATGGACACCAGCTGTCTGCCAGAGTCTTGGAGGGCCTTGTAATAACTCTCCCAGGAACCTGCAGAGACAGAAGGAGTCACGCGTCGCCTGCCTATTTACACTTCAGGAGAAATTGTGACGCAGGCCTCGTGAGTTCCTGTCCGCTCAGCTTCCCGTTCTACTCCCGTAGCCCCCCTTGCGCAGACAGAGCTGTCCATGCCTCCTGGCCCTCCTGGGGTGTGTCCGCTCAGCCTCCTCTTTCTGCCTTCAAAGGCTAATTGCCCTGAGCCCACCCCAATGCTGTCCACCGCCAATTGGCTAAGCTGATCTTTTTAAGTGCCCATGGCTCTGTGGGGCCCTCTTTTTGGTGCTGTCTACTTGAACAGAACTCAATGCCACAGCCCAAAGAAAAGGCACTGTTGAGGCCATTGCAAAGGCTAGCAAGGAAGCCAGGCGGCCTTTCAGTACATGTGCCTGCAGACTCCACCCTTGGCCAGCCGCTGGGGCTCCAGAGCTCAGGGAGCTGGATTCCTGGGGGCAAAGGCGCTTCTTTACTCAGAAGCTCTCTCTTCTCCTTTGACCCTTTGCAGCTGCCTTCCAATGGAGGGCTGCCGTGTGATTCTAGCGGCCCAACCGCTAGCGCTCCAAGGCAGAGGATAGTTCCAGGTTCAATAATCCTGGATTATTCACTCCCCAGATCCTTAACGATTCTTTGAGACTTCCAGGTGGGGTCTCTGCATTCGTGGCTTTAAAATAACTGGTATTCATTCTTGGGAGGACATTTTATTACACGACCCATGAATACATCTTTGTTGCAAAATATTCTGCAACCACAAATTCAAACACTCCATATTCTGAGTCCCCTCCTTCTACCAAGGTATGCTTCTTTCCATCCCAGGGGAGCTTGCGCCTCCTCAGCGGCGTGGACAGATGCAGGGACTTAGGGAAGAACTTACCAATGGAGAAGAGGAAGGGGTCGAAGCCCACACGCCCTCCAGCAGGAATCTCGTCAAGGATCCAGGTGACGATAGGAGAGGTGCCAACTGAGAAAGACAACAAGAAACATAGAGGTCCCCTCCAGTCCCAGGCCCTCCATCAGGCTGCTGTCTGTGATCGTCCTGCCACACGTGTCCTCCTTCCTATCAGCTCCACAGGTAAGGGAGGGCCTCATATTTCCTGCACTTCCCATAGGGGCCCAGCATGGCCTTGCTGTACCTTCCCCACCTAGTCCAGGTTCTAGGGCTTGGAGGCAAACCCATGTGGCCGTTTTACCTTCCTTATGGAGCTCCCAGTTGCAGTCCATCTGCCGCTCAGCCTGGATCCAGTAGCGACTGTCGGTCCAGAGAGCTGCTTTCCCCATGGTCACCACTGCAGTTCCTGGACCAGAACACGGAAGCTTGGAGATGAGGGTGCCACCGAGGGACCTGGCTTTGTCAGTGCCAGTGCTGGCTCTGAGCATGACATCAGGGGCTCTGTCTCTCCTCCACCCCAAGGAAGTGAGGCAGAGGTGTTAAAAAAGGCTTGGGGGAAGCCAGTTGGAAGGGTGGCCTGTTCAGGCCTCTCTGCGCTATGTTGCAGGCCTCTCCAAAGGGGCCACTAGCAGGAGAAGGAGTGGGGCCTGCGTTGGGCAGTCCCAGGCAAGTAATGCTTCATGTAGATGAGGTAGTTAGTGTCCAGACTCGGTGGCTGGCGGGGACACTAAGCAGGGACTTAGCTGAGGGCACTCGTGGAAGACAAATCAACGACTCTGGCAAAAAGAAGGGTCCCTGGTGGACAAGGCTAGGCTACTTGTTGCCCAGGGGAGGAATTGTTCATGGATCAACAAGGGAAGCTTGTCTTTCATTCAAGAGGCCAGGATTAGGATGAGAGGTCCCTTCAGAAACTGGGACCCCATGCAGGGCCTCTGTGTTGGTGCGTCACTTGGCCTTGTGAGGGGTTCTTGTCTGTAAGCCGACAAAGTCAACCTTGGTTTCTAGCCAAGTCATTGTGTGAAGGGAATGAGTGGGCCCCTAGTGGCCTGAAGTGGAAGTAGCAATTGTCCCAGGAGCAGAGGCCGGGGACACTAAGCTGGGGCCTGGCTGTGGCAGAACAGCATGGGGAGCCCGGAGGGGATCTGCTCAAGCGGAAATGTGGCTGGTGACCTAGAAGATGTGTGCCCTGAGGAACCTGATGGGGCACCTGCCCTGGTGACACTTTTTGGAGCTTTGAAATGTTGGCAGAGGAAGATTAGCAGGAGCCTCTGAACACTAAGTCCTGGGGTCTTGGCTGCTGAGAACCAGCCACACCAGGGCCTCTGTGACCACCTCTGGAACTGCCAACAGAAGCAATGAAGGCTGGGAAATGACTGTTACCTGCAGACCCTGTGAAGCCTGACATCCATCCACGCCTCTTCTCACTGTCGCCGATGTACTCACTCTAGGAAGTCAACAACACCATCCTGAGTCTCCTTCACTGAGTCACACATCACACAGAAACTCCCCGACTACATCCCAGTTCTTTCTGTCTGGTCAGAATCAACCAGTCCTACTCGCCCATCGAAGCTGGGCACCTCTTCCAGGAAACCCTCAGGAATTTCCCCAGCTCAGAATCTCTCTTTTCTTTGAACAACTGTATCTCTTAGAGTCTAAACCCCACACTCTATCACTGGACTGTCCTGCACAGGGGTCTTTGTCTCGTCAGACAGAACACAAATTTGGTGCAGCTGCGATCAGATCTTTAGGTTCTTCTGGCCTCTCCCCTGCAGCTGCCCCCTGCCTCCCCAGTCCAGTACATGGGTTCACCATAAATAACTTCTGCAGAGGGTTTTACACATTATTGTATTTTGATCCTCATCATCCTTGGAGACAGACTTCATTTTCCTACGTTGCAGAGGAGGAAACTGAGTCTCAGAGAGGTTCAGACATTTACCCAAGGTTCTTAGCTTTTCCCACCAGGTGGGAAAACTAATTCAAGCCATCTTTTTGACATAAAAAATGCCTTCTCTTCTAACCAGGCTGGTACTGGGAAGGTGGATGAGGTGGAGTGAGGGTTGGGAGAGGGTAGGAAGAAGGCAGGGGAGCTGCTTTGGGAAAAGCAGTTCCTGTCCAGAGCATCTTGTTTCCTGTCTGGGTCCCCTCACCAACCTACGTCCCAGAATCAGATTCCAGGACTCTGGATCATTTTATTGCTCCATCCTTCAGCATTTATGGGAAGTACTGGGCTAGAAGAGTGCTTTGAATTCTTCCTGTCCAATTTCCAATCCACTCTCTAACCTCATTCTGATCCTGAAGTTGTTTATGGTCTCACTGCTTGAGGTCAAGGAGATTTGGCAATGTCTTCTCTTCTATGTGAAAGAACAGGTTCTTTCTATTGCCTTCAACCCCCATCTCAAGCACCCCACTTCCTTCTCTATGCCTGTCAAATCTTTTCTCCACCTTCATTTTCTGAGTCACCAGAGCCTCCTGATTGTCACCTGTTCTCAAGAGGCCAACTCTGTGTGGCAGGCAGGGCAAGGGTGAGGGCGCCGTCCTCACCATATGGGCATCCGTCTCGGGGATGATGTAGGCAGAGACATTCTGGTTCTGCATCTGCTGGCGCAGGCCTGTGAGCCGGACTGTGGTATTGACCGCCGTAACTGGAAGGTACTGGCAGGTGACAGGAATACACCAAGACACACACACACAGAGACACGTGCTGCTAAGAGAAAATGGCGCCCGGGCCCCCAGCCTCCAGAGGAGCCACTAGCCTGTCCTTAGGTAGGGGCTGAAGATGGGGGGGCTGGGGGGCAGGGAGCACAAGGAGGAGGAGGCTGTGCTGAAGTTATGGGCGAGTCTAGACTAAGGTGTCTGGGCTGAGGGGAGATGGAGCTGTTGAACTTGCAGGGGGACTCTGTGACAGTAACGGGAACTGAGTCTGTGACAGGGGTGGCTGAGGACTGCAAGGGGTGTGCGCCTAGGCACTAGGAGGGACCAGGGCGTGCTGTCTCTCCTTGGAGACCTTGGGGTAGCGTTGCCAGATTTAGCAACTTAAAATACAGGATGCCCAGCCAGTCGCATTTGCATTTCAGCTAAAAAACCAACAATGTCTTCTTAGTCATCAGCGCGTCCACGCACTGTCTGGGCACACTCGCGTTGCAGCGTTACCCAGTGTCTGACATTCAGACGCAACGCCTCCTGTATGTCATCTGGCAACCCTACCTCGGGGACACTTTCAAGTTCCCGCTCACGGGCCCACATGGCAGATGAGGGAGAGCGAGTGAGTAGCCCAGCATTTCGGGCCATCGGCCACAAAGATTCTCTCCAAGCCAGCCAGTTCTTTGGAGGCTGTTTTGTCGTAAAAATAAAAAGTGTGAGGTTTTTGTTTGGTCTTGTCTTTTAGTCAATCAGAGATCCATGTCTGTTTTAATATCAAAGGAATGGGGTTTGCCCACCGACCTGCTTTGGGGTGGGGGGGGAATTGCAAGCAGACGACCCCGTCTGTCCTGAGGCTTCAGGGAGCGGCCTCGCCAGCTCTCTCCCGCGGACCGTTCGTCCTGCTCTGACTGTGGGAAGAATCACTCGGCCAGGAGACCGACTCTCCAGCAGCGCCAGCGTGCTGGGCCTGCGCCTTTTCTCACACCCCAGGCCTCCTGCCCTTCCCCCGGGCTTGTAGCCCTGTCTTCCTGCTTGCTCCTTTCTGTGTCTCTTCGCTGTTTCTCCCCGATGTTTGAGCTCTTCCCCCCCCATCCTCTGCACCTCTACTGCAGCGGCAGGCCAAGGCGAGCTGGGGGATTCCCGCCCTTCTGCCCTCCCCTCCTCCGTCCCTGCCAGGCCGGAAGTAGGTAACACTCTGTGGGAAACGGGGCGGGGGGCGGAGGGGGGCGGAGGGGGCGGGGCGGGGCTGGGGCGGATGTCAGACACCTGAGAATGTGCTACCGCGCCCCAAGGATGTTAATTAGAAGCAGGGGCCCCACCGCCCGGAAATGGAGAGAAAGGCTGGTGGAGGGAGAGGCTGGCGGCGGAGCCATGGGGGACGGCGAGGATGGTGGGCGCTGTGGGCAGGGCAGAGCCAGGGCCTCACCGGGGGGCTGATGGAACAGTTTCTCACATCCTCTGCTCCAAGTTCTGCTGGCTTTGGGTGGCCCCAGGCACAAGCTAGAAGTGGGGAGAAAAGTCCACGGTCACTCGGAGACCGTTATTTCCTAGAAAATGCAGGGCCAGGCTCCCCCATCATCTCTCCCCCCAACTCCCCCCCCCACCTCCATCCCCACAGGGCCTCCATCTTTTGAAGCATGCAATACTGTCCAACTGTACTTGAGGGTAAAAATAATCACATTTCATAGGAAATCAGACTGAATTGGATGGCACCCTGGGTCACAATCAAAGAAACCTGTTCCATCGACAAGTGATTGCCACTTTTGGATGGGCTTTAGTGCTCATTAAATCAATTTTTTCCTTCTAATCTAATTGGGTCTTTTCAGGGTCTACCGAACTGGAAAAGTTGCGTGTAAATTAAATTTTTGTAATCAAATTTTCTTTGAAATGCTCTAGAGGATCTCGCTAAATAATCACCCCCACCTTCATTTCACCCTTCTATAAATCTAATTATATATATATATATATATATATATATCTATTTTACTTAAATTCAAGACCCACTTGTACCATTTCTTACAACCAAAGCGCTGGCTATTATTCCAGGAAATCCCAGCCCAACATCGTCGCCTGCTGGGGAAAGGTGGGTTAGCATCTAAAGATCTCCTACTGTGTGCCAGACGCTGAGCTCAGCCATTTCTCTGTAGTATCTCCTTGAATACTTGCAACCACCCCTGTGAGGTGGGTACTACTGTCTACTTTCTGCAGCAGAGCAGGACGAGGCCCAGAGCAGCTTGACAGCAGGATTGAACCCAGGCCATCATCTGAAAGTCAGCCACGGAACGGTGGTGACTCAGAAGGGATGGACAGTGGGAACGACTTGGTTTCCAAAATGAGCTCTGCCCAAATTAGGAACGTCACACCTACTGTGTGTCAAGCGCTGGACAAGTTCCTAAGGGCTCCAGGCCATCCTGCCCTGAAAGTCCAGTGGTCTCTGATAGCCTTCCCTCCGACCCTTGGATTTTAGGGCCAATCTTCCCATAGCCTAATGGGGGCCTGCAAAAGGGGGGTGCTATATATTTACCTTCTGAGTAGGTTGAACTACAGATGGAAGAAGGGCAGCTGGGTCCAACACCACGAAGGCCCTGCCTGACCATCTTGGTCTCAGAAACTGAGCCCCATAATGTTGATTAGGAAAAGGAACCCCCACTTCTAGAGGAGCAGATCTGTAACAAAGCAATGATGCTGGACCTAACATAAGAATCAGGACAAGCTAAGCTATGTCTCTCTGGACAACCGAATCTGTTTTTGTCTGAGACCAGGGCTGTGGCTCCCCTGGGTGGGCTCTGAAGCTGCCTCACTCTGTGGTCCCTGGCACCAGGCCCGGTGGTGGGGAGGTACTCAGGAAAGGGGTACTAAACGAATGAATGGGGTCCTGCTGACAGAGAACAAAGGGAAGGGAGGCCTCCCTCAGGGCCACAGGTGGGATGGGTGTAGAAGGCACTGAGCTGGGCACCTAGTTGTGACCAAAGAGGACAAACAGCGCACTGGAGGGGTGACAATGACCAAACTTTAGTTAGGCTCCTGAGGCTTCTTCTCAACTAAGCCTTGAATTTGACCTTCCATGTCTAGCCTATCCTTGCCAGACCTGCATCAGCCAGCCTTTGCAAGAATCCTGCTAAGTTGATTTCAAGAGAATCCCCTATGCCTGATATCTGATTACTCTTGATATCTGATCAAATTCCTACAGCAAGAAGTCTATTAAGTTGCTTTAGCAGGAATCTTTCTAGTCTTGAGGTCACTTCTTAGTAATTGTCCACCCGCTCACCCCTCATTCTGCTCACTGGCACTACGCCCCCAGCTGAGCGCAGAGCTGGGCTTGAGCCCTTTCCCCTATGGCAATGCCTTACTGGAATTGTCTTGAAGAAAGTCTTCCTGACCCTTTTAACACTTGCCAGTCAGTTTTTCTTTAACAGGTGGGAATGGAAGGGGCCAGACCAGCCTTGGCCTGACTCTTGAGGGCCCAGAGGACCAGCCCTGGGGTTCTTCTTCCTCAAGACAGAGAAGGGAACCAAGAGAGAAAGAGACACTCTGGGCCTCTGCTTGTCTTCCAGCCCTTTCTGAGCCCAGAGGGGAAGCCAGAGCTGCTTTCGAGCTGGACCTGCCCTAGAGCAGGAGGGGGGCAGGCCGGGATGCACATACCGCAGAGGAGAATAAGCCAGGGGCAGCAGCCCCAGCGAGCCCAGGCCATGGGGTGTCCAGATGCCGGTGCTGGGTGAATGGAGGGATGGGGGGGAGTGGGCACGGCTGTCTCCCTTGGCCTCTTCCTCCACACCTTTCAGGGGCAGCAGCAGCCAGGAACAGGGGCTGGCGATGGGGAGGAGGTGTCCAGCTGGTGGGTGGAGAGTTGCTTCTGGTCTTTTGTATTTGAAGGCCCTCCGGGCATCAGGGTGAGTGCAGAGACAGTGACTGCCCCAGGCAGCTCTGCTGGCTCCCAGCCTCCAGGAATAGGGTGTGAGGCTGCCCAGGGCAGAGTCTAAGTCCCTGGCAGAGTCCAAAGACCACTGAGACTGAGGAGCAGCAGCTGGTCTCAATCAGTTTCTAGCTCCCAGCCCCCTTCTTCTGCAGCCATCCCGGGCCACTCCCAGAGTCTGTCCCCCTCCCTCCAGCAAGCTGTTTCCCATTAGCTCCCCCACTCAGGGCTCTGGCTACAACCGCGCTCCTGCTTTGAGATGAATGTTTACCCTTCCTTCTCTTCCGAGCTCGCCTGTCTCCAGAAAAAACCATCAGTCTGTTATAGGACAGGGAGAGGGGCAGCCCAAGCCCCGCAAACCTGCCTATTCTAAATGGGTTCTGCCATCCGCCGCATCAACACAAAACATATGAGACTTTAATGGGAAGGAACTATAATTAAACTAGGAACAACACAGGTAAGGCAAAAAGTCTAGTTTCTAAATGAAGCACCCAAAGTTACCCATCCCCTCGTGGGTAAAAGTCCATCCATATGGGATTGGCCCAGAACAAGGCCCCAAAGCCTGCCACAAGTCTAAAGCATCTTCCAGTGGGGACCCACAGAAATGGGTCACAAACAACCAGACAAGCCCGGAAGGAAAAGAGCAAAATCAACATCAAGATAAAAGCTGCCATTGTCACCTCCCCACGGGTCTCACCCACATCTGTGTCACCCCGTCCACGACCAAAAGACAAGCGCAGTTTCTTCACGTGTCTCTAGGCTCCATGCGCCTCCTCCAGGTCTCCTGGCTCCATCCTGCTTCCTTCCTCCGTCTCTTCCTGCAGCTTCTTCTCTTGCTGCTCAGCTCCACCCTCCCTTGGGTGGGGCAGGGAACCTCCCCCTTTCCTGGGGACCACCCTGTTGCAATCCCCCCTTTTAATTTTTATTCCACCATATCTATGGTGGCACAAATGTTAGGGTGTAGTCTTAGGAGACAGTCTTTTTTTAGGGTTCCAATGTGTGTAAGAGAAGCAACAATTAGTCAGCAGCATTGTCCATGAATGTCCAGTATGACAGTTTCATTACTTAAAAATAGTCCATTATCCAAGCCAAAAGAAAAAATTTGGAGCATTGGCTAAAACAAGATAGCAAATATATCAAAATCACAGGGAAAAAATGTTAAAATGGTTCAACTGATGTAAAAAACCACAAATTTTCTCAACCTTGATCCCAAACTTTTAACAGCAAAGCAAAAGTTTGCAAACTAAATCTACTTTTAAACCATTTTTTCCTATTTTTGCATAAAATCACAGGGCAGAAAATAACTAACAGCAATTTTTAGCTGGCTTTGTTGAAATACTCCACACAGGATCAGAGCGAACCGGTGGCATGCAGTCGATGTAGGCTTCAGGTATAAAGTTGGTCTCATCAGACTCCACCTGGGCTTTCCTCTTCTCGAGGGTACCAGGGCATTTTCGTTGGCCGGGTTGTCCAGTCCTGCCAATGGAGGCAAGCTTCCTCACCTTCTTTGGAGGTCTCTGGAACCCTACAAACAAGGCAAACAGGTTCTCCTCTTCTTGGTTCAGCTCTTTTTCAACTTTTTGGAAGAACTCCACACAAAGCCACACAATCAAACTCACGTCCAATTTTTTTTTTTTAAAACAGACAAAATCCCTATGGAAGTTATGCAAAAACAGACTCTAAGATAAGTAGCAAAAATTACTACCACTATTTGTATGCTGTGTTGATATCAAGGGGAGAGAAAATGTGACAAGTTAGTTTTGCTGGAAAAAAAAATTACAACCTTTCTGCAGATCCTGGTTACTCAAAACAAAACAAAACAAAACAAAAACTTCGTGGATTCAGGACAAAATGTATAAAAAAATTACCAGTATTATGTCAGAGAAAACTTAGTAAATGTCAGGTGTATTTCCAGGTCTATTCAGTCCTTTGTAGGAAAGTTTTTTTTCTCTCAACAGTTCCATCAATAGGAATCTGTTGAGACCTTTTTTCCCTATATTGCCAGATACAATTTCTGTAGACATGAAACAATTGAATTATACAATATTACAAGGTGACAATCACCAGTGACAATTTAAATACCAGATACTAAGAGGTTGTTTTTTTTTTAAATACACATTTTAGAAAACCACTGTTAACATTCTGTATACACCAAAGTTTTACCATTTTCCCAAGTGACAATGCTTCCCTTCCAGTTTTACTTCATTAGGTAAAAGCCAAACAGAACAAATTCATCTAATGCCTTTCCAGGAGGAAAGGGAGAAACTTTGTGGAGTGTCTCAGGAGCTCTACTGAGGTTCCACAAAATTTCCTTGCATCAGTAAAATGACAGGCTACCAAATTTGTACTTGAATTTAGATTTCTGGGAAGCTTTGCCATAAATATCAGAAAATTAGCAGAAACAACAATATTCAATCTCTATGAAGGCACAGGCTTAGTTTAGTAGCACAATGTTGACAATCAAACCATAACTTTTGTTTTTCTCATAACTGGAGACTCTTTTTTTTTTTTTTAACGTCTATGGGCACCATGTATACCAATTTGTCGATCACTGGAGGTCAAGACAGTTAGACACAAGGACATACAGACAGACAACATGTAGACAAAGACAGTTTTTTTTTTAGTTATGCCACGTGGAATATGTTATGTAACTGCAGTTTTACTCCATAGGCTCAGAAAAAAAAAAATGTCAAAGTCCAAAAAAAATGTGGAGTGTTGCTGGCAGAAAAATTTCCAGTTGTCATCCTGCAAACCTAAGACTTTGGAAATAGGAAGGAAAAGTTTTATTAATCACAGGAGTTACATGACCTTGTTTATCACCTTAGGGGTTTTCAGTGTTGAAGACTTTTTGTTAGAAGTCAATCCTGGGGTATTCTGTACAGCAGCTGAAAGAGCAAAAGTAAACCTTTAAGCAAAAGGAGTCATCTCTTGTTAGCCACCAAGCAGGCACTCCTTGGGTTTCCTGGAATAGAACCTGAAAAAAGCAAAATCAAAATATCAGTAATTAACTTTCAATTAAAAGGAGTCATCTCCTTACTTCTGTTAGCCACTCTGGGACAGAAGCTGAAAGAGATTAAATATCTAAGCACAGATTACACCTCCCCCACACTAGGGAGGGACAACAACAACACAGGTATGAAAACCTGGTATAGTTACATGATGCACCCTAAAGAGTGCTTTCCATAACAGACCTTCCTCAGTAGGAAGCAGAAACTCAGAATCTTGTCTTACACCAGCAATTGAACAAATTCAGGATTCAAAATGGCAAACATGCCCAAAACAAATTGTGTAGACAAAATTCACAGCAGCAAATCCTTTCAGACTCAGACAAAATCTTGTTAATTTTTCTGATCCAGACTTTGCAAAAATTCAAGTTATCTCCAAGAATCCATCAAGGATACCAGCGATTACCAGTTACTGCTTAAGGCTACTCTTTCCTTAACACCCAGGCATACATTTGCTAATTAAAACACCTCCGCTCCACAATTGGCTTGCAAAATCCATCAGGCAGAGAGCAGGAAGTAGCCAAAGACAAAGCAACATACCACTGAAGAACCATTATTGCCTTTAGAAATGCTAATGAGACAGCAGAGATTACAAAAGAAAGAAAAAAAAGTTCCAAGTGGCCTCAGACGCCATCTTTGATCTGGCCACATGGTCCAATGTACTGCCTAATCTTTTGAGTAAAACCGGCACAGAACAATTTCCACAAAATCAAATGTCTTAGCAAGTCACTACAAACAAATTACATACAGACACACAGATCTTCACAAAGCCCAAGCCAGTTTTTCAACAGCAAATCGACATATGAAACAAACACACCGGAGAAACCAAAAATCACATTTGCGCTTATGGTAGCCAGCGCCACAGGGAAGCCCAATTTCCCCATGGGGCTGACTAACCACGGATGGCTCTGTCCTAAATACGTTGGACGCCAAATCTGTTATAGGACAGGGAGAGGGCAGCCCAAGCCCCGCAAACCTGCCTATTCTAAATGGGTTCTGCCATCCGCCGCATCAACACAAAAACATATGAGACTTTAATGGGAAGGAACTATAATTAAACTAGGAAACAACACAGGTAAGGCAAAAAGTCTAGTTTCTAAATGAAGCACCCAAAGTTACCCATCCCCTCGTGGGTAAAAGTCCATCCATATGGGATTGGCCCAGAACAAGGCCCCAAAGCCTGCCACAAGTCTAAAGCATCTTCCAGTGGGGACCCACAGAAATGGGTCACAAACAACCAGACAAGCCCGGAAGGAAAAGAGCAAAATCAACATCAAGATAAAAGCTGCCATTGTCACCTCCCCACGGGTCTCACCCACATCTGTGTCACCCAGTCCACGACCAAAAGACAAGCGCAGTTTCTTCACGTGTCTCTAGGCTCCATGCGCCTCCTCCAGGTCTCCTGGCTCCATCCTGCTTCCTTCCTCCGTCTCTTCCTGCAGCTTCTTCTCTTGCTGCTCAGCTCCACCCTCCCTTGGGTGGGGCAGGGAACCTCCCCCTTTCCTGGGGACCACCCTGTTGCAAGTCCTCTCTCCCTAGGGCCTGGGGCGCTCCCCTGCACCCCTTGGGGAAGTTGGACAGTTTCTTTTTCCCCTCGGGAGAGCCCTCTGTGTGAAAGTGCCGCCAGCCCTTCTCGGGACCCCGGAATCCCAGCCAGTGCACACTTTCCAGCCAGGGAGGTCTGAGATGTTAGTGCATTCACCCCAAGAGGAATGTAGGCTCAGAAGCCTATTTGGAGAGTCAGTGGAAGCCACTTAAAAGGGAAAATCCTGGGACGGGGAGCTTGGGGCCCCAGAAGGTAAATTTGGATAGCTGGACATACCCTTTCTGCCAGCGCTGCTAGAGCAGGTCCTGGTTCGCCTGCAGTGGGATCCACCCGTTGGTCTCCCCAGGGGCAAGTGGATAGGAGGCCAGCCTCAAAGCCACACCCGCCTGCCCCAGGGCAGCTCTGCACTGGGGTCAAAGCAGGTCCCCAGTAACTGCCTTCTAGAACCCACTGCCTGGAGAAGAATGCTTCCAGGAGACAAAGAAGACCCCCAAGGGACAGGGGTTCACCTAACCTGGAGGGCCCCGGAAGCAAACCACTCCTGGCCTTTTATCTGATTTTGAATGTATTTATGTTCTGTTGCCATCTCAGGTGTAAAGCAGCTTTCAAATAATATCCCCCTGCCCCCCCCCTTCATTAAAGACCATTTGGAAGAGAGAAAGAGGACTTTGCAGGACTCCCTGAGAGAGGGGAGTCTGAATGAGTGAGAAGGTTCATGGATGCCACTTTGGAATAAAAGCAGAGACGGACCAGGCACAAGTACCTGTTCAGTGAGTGACCTGCTGCTGCTCCTGCTCCCCTGCTGCTCTTCTCTCCTACCCCATTCCAGGGCTGGGAATAAAGTTATTCCTAGAGATCAGAGGTCAGGGAATAGGCCCTTGAAAGGCCCCTCCCTGCCCCGTGTGACATATTTGCCATTCAGATGCCGAGATGACCCACCCACGGGGCCTGCTTCGCAGGCTGCCTGGGGCCAGGCCTCTCACCCAATAGCTGTGTGGTCTTGGGCAGGTGAATTCACCTCTCCAAGCTGTCAGTTTTTTTCCTATGAAGTGGGGTAATAATAGTAGAAACTTCACCAGGGCATAACTGTTATAGGGCAGCCCCGATACAAAACGGGGTGCCTGACTGTGGGTCCTCACCTGCGCGCTTAAAAGGACTTATCAATGCTCTACTGCAGGCAGGCAACGCGAAAGGTTAATAAAAGGTTTATTTACAAGGGAAGGGCAATGAGGAAATGTACAGCTCAGGGAGAAAAGTGGGAGACAAAGTTTTAAATGTGTCCTACCGATCAGGAATCCCAAATGGCACTCTGAGAGCTGGCCGCGAGCCAGGAGCTGTGAAGCCAGGTGGCGAGAGAGAGAGGGAGAGACCCCAAGGCCCACGTGTCTGGTTTTTATACCCAACCTGGCTGCTTAACTCCACCCTCAGGTCCCAGCCACCTTCCCTTTGGTGGTGACGGGATTTGTCTTTCCCAATGTCCTGATGGCTTTGGTCTGGAGGAGGAGTGGGGTCCACAAAGCCTGCATGGGACTAGCGCAGGACATCCTTTCCCCCTAACAGGATGAGAATGAAATGAGCTCCCGTTTGTGAAGTTCTCAGAACACGCCTGACATAAGGAGTAAATGCTACGCGTTTGTTAGATCAAAAACACACTAGAGCAAAACCTTGGCCCACCTGTACCTTGTTCTCTCTGGCCGCCATCCACCACTGCTG